ATAACCTGATATGGATAGACTAAAATTAGTCTCATATAATGCCCATGGTCTAAATAACCCGATTAAAAAAAAAAAAATCCTAAATCAATTGAAACAGTTAAACAGTTCATTAGTATTGATTCAAGAAACTCATTTAAATGAAGAGGAACATAAAAAATGACAAAGGGATTGGATAAGTCAGGTATACTATTCATCTTATGGGAAAAGAAGGGGGGTGGCAATATTAGTAAGAAAAGGAATACCTTTTGTAGCAGAAAAAGTCATACAAGATACTAAAGGAAGGTATGTGCTAGTTGTTGGTCAAATAAGAGACAAAATTATTTCAGTACTAAATATATATGCACCAAATGAAGAGAATGAACTATTCTTTAAGACTCTGGCAAATATAATTGTACAAGAGGGGAAAGGAATGTTAGTATTGGGAGGTGACTTCAATACTGTACAAAATGGGAAATTTAATAGGTTGAAAAAGGACCACCAACAAGCCGGTCTAAAATGTTAAATAATATAATAAAGGAACTTGGATTAATAGACCCATGGAGAAGTAACAATACAAGAGAAAAAGCATTTACATTTTATTCAAACCCACATAATAGCTACTCAAGGATTGAGTTTTTCCTTCTTTCCCAACAAGATGTATTTAAAGTAATAAATAGTGGAACTGAACCAATAACAATAAGTGATCATGCGCCTATTCATCTCACAATAGAACTGGATCCTTTAAGTATTGGAGACTTGGTGTATCCATTTTGGCAGACAAAGCAGTGGTGCAAGAAATAAAAGAAAGTATTATACAATATATCGACAACAATGATAATGGAGAGGTCAATTTAACAACTTTATGGGAATGTGGGAAAGCAGTAATACGGAGAAAAATCATTGAATTAACCTCTAGAATTTAAAAAAAGCGAGAACAGCAACAAAAACTATTGGAGAATGAAATAAAAAAATTAGAAACTGAACATACTAAAACGCTTGAAAAATCTATTATGTTAGAGTTAAAAGAAACAAGATCAAAATTAGACAAATTAGTAACATTTAAGGTAGAAAATGCTATAAGGTATATGAATCAAACATATTACGAAAAGGGGAATAGAGCAAATAAGTTACTCGCATTTCAACTCAAAAAGAAACAGTGGGAGCAAACAATAGCAAAAATAAGACATCCTGTCTCCAAGGAAATTAAGATAAAACCAACAGATATTGCAGAAGCTTTTGCTGACTACTATAAAAATCTATATGATGATCAAAGTACGGAGTCATTAGAAACCAAAATACAAATGTTTATGAATAAGTTTGACCTTCCAACACTGACACCTGAGCAAAAATAACAAAAGTCCTGGAACTGACGGATTCCCAGGGGAATTCTATAAATGTTTTATAGAGGAGATTGCACCATTACTAAAAAGAGTATTCAATTATGTTTTAGAATCGGGAAATGTACCAATATCATGGTCGGAATCTCTCATCTCCGTCTTACACAAGGAGGGCAAAGATCCTGTGTTATGTGATAGTTATCGCCCTGTCAGTTTACTGTGTAATGATTTCAAAATATTAACAAGTATAATGGCAAAAAGAATTCAGAAACATATATCAAAATTAATTAAATCTGACCAAACTGGGTTCATACCTGGAAGACAGGGAGCTAACAATATCAGACGAACACTAAATCTTATTTCATGTGCTAAGACGAGTTCAAAGACAAATATATTACTAAGTTTAGATGCACAAAAAGCATTTGACTGTGTAAAATGGAAATCTTTATATCATGTGTTGTCGGTGTTTGGATTCCACCCAATGTTTATAAACTGGGTTAAACTTATTTACGATGATCCAAAATCTAGAACTAGAGTGAATGGATGCTGCTCCGAATTTTCTCTTTGAAAAGAGGTGTAAGGCAAGGTGAATGCTTAAGTCCACTATTATTTGCTTTAAGTATAGAACCTTTAGCTGAATATATTAGACAAAATCCAAATATTAAGGGAATTCGGGATGAAAGGGGAGTAGAATCAAAAATTTCACTGTTTGCTGATGATATTTTCATGTATATAAATGACCCGGCTATAACATTACCAACATTGAATGACATTCTGATTGAATATGGGGAAATTTCCAGTTATGTAATTAATGAATCTAAGTCAGTAGCTATGAGTATATCAGGTACATGTCCCTCTGAAACAAAAGAGAAGGTTAAATTCAAATGGACTGATGAGGGCTTTAGATATTTGGGCATTAATATTACCAAGAACACATCACATCTTTTTAAAGCCAATTATGAGAAAGTTATAAAAGAAATAAGTGCAGATTTGAAACGATGGGAAATCCTCCCGTTGACATTAATGGGGCGAATAGAAGTCATTAGGATGAATGTTTTGCCCAAATTTTTGTTTTTGTTCCAATCCCTACCCATTCTGCTCTCTAAAGAAACTTTCGTAAAAATAGATAAACTCATATCAATTTTTTTATGGAGAAATCAAAAACCAAGAATTCAGTACAAGCTACTTCAGAGCTCTAAAGAAAAGGGTGGCCTAAACTTACCCAACATTAAAAAATACTATTGGGCATCACAACTAAGAGCCCTAAAAGTTTGGACTGATCAGGATGATGAGACGGGACGGAGGGAAATGGAGCAAAACTCCTGCCCAAAGGTTCCTCTAGAATCTTTACCATTTCTTACAAAGAAATTACAAAAGGATTTAAAAATCAAAAATGAATGGGTTAAAGCAACATTAAGAATATGGACTATAGTAAAAAGAAAATTAAATATGTCTGATTCAATCTGTAGGGCCACTAAAATGGGTTTAAACCCAGACTTTACACCATCAATGGAAGGGGGATTTTGTAAATGGAAAGAGAAAGGATTGGTTTATATCGGGCATCTTTTTGAAGGTGAAAACATGAAATCTTTTGAACAGTTAAAAAAGGAATTTGGTTTAAAAGCACAAGACCTTTATAAGTTTTTACAAATCAGAAATTATCTTATGAAACATAAGGATTGGAAATATATTTGTAATGAGCCTAATTATCTAGAAGAATTATTAATGACAAGTACATGTAATACTAAAAAACTCATTTCAAAAATATATAAAGCCCTACAGATTGATACAGATGACAACAATATGGGCATTAAAGACAAATGGGAAAAGGAAAGAAATATTACAATATTAGAGGAAAACTGGGAGAAATCATTTAAAGATGGACATAAAATGTTCAACATTATTTCATGGAGAGAGTTTGAATGGAAATCCAAGATGCAATATTTTATTGTCCCAACAAAGGTAACAAAATACAGTACAAAATCTGACAAATGCTGGAGAGTTGTGGTCAGACAGGAGACACACACACATATTATGGGATTGTCCTCTAATCAGAGACTACTGGATCAATGTAAAAAAGAAAATTGAAAGTATTTGTAAAGAAAAACTAAATTTAGATCTTCAATTATTTATATTGAGTATTGTACAAACCACTATATCTTCAAAAAATAGAAAAATTATTTTAATATTAAGTACAATAGCAAAAAAAAATTATAACTGTGTCCTGGCTAAAACCACAACCTCCTACTAAAGAAAACTGGTGGGAAAGGGTTAAAGATATGATGGAAATGGAAAGAGTAACAGCAAGACTGCGATTTAAAATGAAGGAATTTGAGGAGTTATGGGCACCGGTAATACAAGAAACAAGATAATGTGTATCCTACCATTGATGTGTGGATGGGTGTATGTGAGTGAGTGAATATGTATGAATGTGTATGTGTGTGTTTATTAATTCATAATGTTATTTTTATTTATTTAGTTTGGTGAGGGGTCATTAATCGGGGGAAGGGATTAAAGGGAAAAAATATGAGTGTAGATATGTATGTATGTATGTGTATATATGTATGTATATGTATGTGTGTGTACATATATGTATGTGTGTGTGTATATATATATGTGTATGTATGTTATATATATATATATATATATATATGTGTGTGTGTGTGTGTGTGTATATGTGTGTATATATGAATATGTATGTGTGTGTATGTATGTGTATATGTATACATATATGTGTGTATATGTATACATATATGTGTATATATATATGTGTGTATATGTATGTATGTATACACACACAAGGAGAATATAAATAGATATAATATTAGGCTCTGCCTTTTATAATATGAAGTGTTAAAAAAAATTTTTATGAAATATATGTATATGTATGGATATGTGCCTATATGTATATAGGTGCATGGATTTAAATGTGTATATGTATGTGCATGTGTATAGGTGTACGTGTGTGCGCGCATGCATGTGCGTATGTGGGTGGGTGCATGCATGCATGCTTCCACACACATATATAAACAAATAAGGAGTATTGTTATGAACATAAGGTAAATGTATATAGAGTATGTATGTATGTATATATATGTATGTGTAGGTGTGTATGTATTTTATATATATATATATATATATATATATATATATATATATATATATATAAAAAATGTGTGACATATGGATGTGCTTACACTCGTGTAAATAGCTAAATGGATACTTAATATCTCTAATGAAATGAATAAACATATATTTAACGAAAAAAATATATATATATGTATATATATATATATATATATATATATATATATATATATATATATATATATGCGACATAAAACAAGATAAGCACGTGCAATTGGTCCAAAATAAAAAAAGAAAACATAGGTAGACTTTATTTTATCATTTCTTTATTTTATTTCACTTTCCCCCAACATCATCCATGAAAAGAAAACCTGTTGTGGGTTGATAATAAGAGTAATTCATCAGCAAGCAGAATAATAAAACATAAAAATGAAACTGCAGAGAAGGTTTAAAAGTAAAAATAATATTAAAATAAAAGTAAAAACAAGAAAGAATAATATGTATATAATATATGGACAAACTTCATCTAAAATCTCTTTGTAATAAAAAAGTAATTTAAAAAAATGGCAAGCTTAAAAATGATGTTAATATTTGCCACTACACAGAGCTCATCTCCACAGTCTGGAGTCTCTGAAGCCTGATCTCCAGCTTTTTGAGTCTGACTTTAGATTCACATGATCCGGCCTCAGCAGCTCTGTCTCCTTTAGTGTGTTCAAGACGGTGCACCTTCACATGAGTACGTTTTCTCAAAGTCCTTCCACACTGGTCAGAGCTGCAGCTTTTCTCTTCATTCTGGAACAAGTGAATTCTCATGTGTCTCTTGAGACTGAATGATGCAGTGTAAGCTTTCCCACACTGCTCACACTTGTATGGCCTCTCTCCAGTGTGGACTCTCATATGTATTACAAGGCTGCTTGACACTGAAAATGTCTTGTCACAAACATCACATCTGTATGATTTCTCTCCTGTGTGGACTCTCATATGTTTACGGAGGTCACTGGACTGTTTAAATTGATTCCCACACTGGTCACATTCAAATGGTTTTTCTCCTGTGTGGATTCTCATATGTGTTTTGAGTGTACCAGGCAGTGTAAATTCTTTCCCACACTGCTCACACTTGTATGGCCTCCTTCCTGTGTGGATTCTCATATGTGATACAAGGCTGCATGACAAGGAAAAAGTCTTGTCACAAACATTGCATCTGTATGGTTTCTCTCCTGTGTGGACTCTCATATGTTTACGGAGGTCACTGGACTGTTTATATTCTTTCCCACACTGGGCACATTCAAATGGCCTCCTTCCTGTGTGGACTCTCATATGTATTACAAGGCTGCTTGACACTGAAAATGTCTTGTCACAAACATCACATCTGTATGGTTTCTCTCCTGTGTGGACTCTCATATGTTTACGGAGGTCACTGGACTGTTTAAATTGATTCCCACACTGGTCACATTCAAATGGTTTTTCTCCAGTGTGGATTCTCATATGTCTTTTGAGTGAAGTAGACTCTTTAAATTCTTTCCCACACTGGTCACATTCATATGGTCTCTCTCCAGTGTGAACTCTCATATGTATTACAAGGCTGCTTGACAATGAAAATGTCTTGTCACAAACATCACATCTGTATGGTTTCTCTCCTGTGTGGATTCTCATATGTATTTTAAGTGCTCGAGACTCTTTAAATTCTTTCCCACACTGCTCACACTTGTATGGCCTCACTCCTGTGTGGATTCTCATATGTGATACAAGGCTGCTTGACACTGAAAATGTCTTGTCACAAACATCACATCTGTATGTTTTTTCCCCTGTGTGGATTCTCATATGTCTTTTGAGTGAAGTAGACTCTTTAAATTCTTTCCCACACTGCTCACACTTGTACGGCCTCTCTCCAGTGTGACCTCTCATATGTATTACAAGGCTGTTTGACAATGAAAATGTCTTGTCACAAACATCACATCTGTATGGTTTCTCTCCTGTGTGGATTCTCATATGTCTTTTAAGTGCTCGAGACTCTTTAAATTCTTTCCCACACTGCTCACACTTGTACGGCCTCTCTCTGGTGTGGACTCTCATATGTGATGTCAAGGTGCCTGACACTGAAAATGTCTTGTCACAGACATAACAGTTGTATGGTTTCTCTCCTGTGTGGATTCTCATATGTATTTTGAGTGCATCAAGGCGTTTAAATTCCGTCCCACACTGGTCACATGCATATTGTTTCTCTCCTGTGTGGATTCTCATATGTATTTCGAGTGCATCAGACCTTGTAAAATCCTTCCCACACTGCCCACACTTGAATGGCTTCTCTCCAGTGTGGATTCTCATGTGTGTTACAAGGCTGCTTGACACTGAAAATGTCTTGTCACAAACCTCACATCTGTATGGCTTTTCTCCTGTGTGGATTTTCGTATGTTTTTTGAGTGTATCAGACTTTGTAAATTCCTTCCCACACTGTTCACACTTGTATGGCCTCTCTCTGGTGTGGACTCTCATATGTGATGTCAAGGTGCCTGACTGTGAAAATGTCTTGTCACAGATAGAACAGTTGTATGGCTTTTCTCCTGTGTGGATTCTCATATGTCTTTTGAGTGCATCAAGCCATTTAAATTCCATCCCACACTGGTCACATTCATATGGTTTCTCTCCTGTGTGGATTCTCATATGTTTTTTGAGTGCATCAGACTTTGTAAATTCCTTCCCACACTGCCCACACTTGTATGGCCTCTCTCCGGTGTGGATTCTCATGTGTGTTACAAGGCTGCTTGACAGTGAAAATGTTTTGTCACAAACCTCACATCTGTAAGGCTTTTCTCCTGTGTGGATTTTCATATGTCTTTTTAGTGTACCAGGCGCTTTAAATTCTTTCCCACACTTGTCACATTCAAATGGCTTCTCTCCGGTGTGGACTCTCATATGTGATACAAGGTTGCATGACACTGAAAATGTCTTCTCACAGACATCACAGCTGTATGGCTTTTCTCTTGTGTGGATTCTCATATGTTTAGAGAGGCTTCCGGACTGTGTAAATTCCTTCCCACACTGGTCACATTCAAATGTTTTTTCTCCGGTGTGGATTTTCAAATGTCTTTCGAGTGCAGTAGACTCTTTAAATTTCTTCCCACACTGGTCACAGCTGTATGTTTTTTTTCCTCTGTGAGTTCTGAAGTGTCTTTTCAGTTTGGAAGCATTTGGCCATGCTTTTCCACACTGGTCACATGTAAACTCCATTCTGTAGATCTGCATTAGAACAAAGAAAATAAAGTGTCAAGTAAAAATCACGATATACACATAAAATAACAAATACTGATGTGTATGTAATAATGTTTCAATGTGTGTTTTACAAGCAGGTTACATTAAGTTGCATGAATCAAGGAAGGTTGTATTTTCTTTTAAAGGCATACTTTTTTCTGACTGTAGCAAAAGAATATCAAATTAAAGCCAAAAGAGACATTAAACAGCTCTTGCCCAGTGAAAACGCCCCTTCCATGTGACTGCCCCGGCACACTATCGTTACTTCCTGAGAGCCACCCAGGCCAACAAATTTTCCACTAGAAAAATTACATAGTGCACCTTTAAATCTTTTTTTTTAGGAGTGTTTGCACCTCTGCTGGCCAACCATGAAAAATGCCTTATGTCAGTTATTTGTTTTGCTTCTAGTCGTTCATAGAATGTAATTCACAAATTTGGTACAAATCTGATAATGTTGACGTTTCATGTCTATGCTATTCCCCATGTCCGTAATGAGAATCAGCTGGAAAATCTCCCTGGCTGGAAGGTCCCCAAGCTGGAAAGTCCCCCTGAATTGTACCCATTATGGAACAAAGTTAGTTAATCTATATACAAATAAATGAAAAAAAATTAAAAATGTAAAAAAAATACATTTTTCATATGTATGTATGTATGTATGGGATGTCATTCGGGCTTGACAAATGTAGCAGGATGGTGACAAAGCGAGGGAAGGTAGTCCACACAGAGGGGGTCTCACTCCCAGAGGGAACAATAGCAGATGTTGAGGACAGTTACAGGTACCTTGGTATCCCACAAGCAAATGGCAACCTCGAAGAGGCAACAAGGAAAGCGGCTACGGCCAAATACCTGCAAAGAGTGAGGCAAGTCCTAAGAAGCCAGCTCAATGGCAAGAACAAGGCGCAGGCAATCAAGAGCTACGCCCTGCCAGTGATCAGATACACTGCAGGAATCATAAGCTGGTCAAAGGAGGATATACAGACCACAGATGTTAAGACACGAAAGCTCCTGACCATGGAGGGTTCCATCCCAAATCCAGCACCCTGAGACTGTACGCAGGCCGGAAGGAGGGGGGCCGAGGACTAGTGAGTGTGGGAACCACTGTCCAGGATGAAACATCCAAGCTCCTTGAGTACATCAAGGACAAGGCCCCGACAGATGATGTGCTCAGAGAATGTCTCAGACAGTGGGGTCCAGAGGAAGAGGTGCTGGAGGGACCATCATGGCAGGACAAACCCCTACATGGGGCAAACCACCGGAACATAACTGAAGTGGCTGATATCAAGAAATCCTACCAATGGCTTGAGAGGGCTGGTCTGAAGGACAGCACAGAGGCACTGATCCTGGCTGCTCAGGAGCTGGCCCTGGGCACTCGAGCAATAGAGGCCCAGATCTACCACACCAGACAAGACCCACGGTGTAGACTGTGCAAAGAGGCTCCTGAGACAGTCCAGCACATAACTGCGGGGTGTAAGATGCTGGCAGGGAAAGCATACATGGAGCGACATAACCAAGTGGCGGGCATAGTGTACAGAAACATCTGTGCAGAGTACGGGCTGGAAACCCCAGGATCAAGGTGGGAAACACCTCCAAAGGTTGTGGAGAATGACCGAGCCAAGATCCTGTGGGACTTCCAGATACAGACTGACAGAATGGTGATGGCGAACCAACCAGACATAGTGGTGGTGGATAAGAAACAGAGCAGAGCCGTGGTGGTTGACATCGCAATACCAAGCGATGGTAATATCAGGAAAAAGGAACACGAGAAGCTAGAGAAATACCAGGGGCTCAAGGAAGAGCTGGAGAGAGCCTGGAAAGTAAAGGCATCAGTGGTGCCTGTGGTGATCGGACACTCGGGGCTGTAACCCCCAAACTGGAAGAGTGGCTACAACAGATACCGGGAAAAACAATGGACATCTCAGTCCAGAAAAGTGCAGTACTGGGAACAGCAAAGATACTGCGCAGAACTCTCAAGCTCCCAGGCCTCTGGTAGACGACCCGAGCTGAATGAGGGTGAGAGAGACCAACCACCGTGGAAGGTGAGAAACACATTTTTTTTTTATACATATCGTATATCGTATTAATTACAATTATAATTACTAATTGCCACTTTTCTCCTCAGTTCATCTGTAGAACTTGGGCAGTGGGTCTTTAAAATGGTGGATCTATGTGGTCAGATGGCAGGTTAGGCAGTGCCATCACTTGTTTCACAAAATTCCTCACAGGTGACTTGTGGGTGTTTACTGACCTGAGTTCATATTCCTTTATCTTCCTAATATGACATGAACAACGCCTGACATTTGGTCTCGTTACATTCACATTTCATTTTGTTATGATATAAAATGCTGATTTTCTAACTCAATACATCACAGTGCGTGACGTGGCCGACTAAAGGCCAACGAGAACGACCCCCCTCTCCTGGGCACAGCAGTTACCCGTGTGCCGCCCAGAGGGAGGAGGGGGACGTTACCGCCGAGAGAATGGGACGTTCGAGCTGGGACTTTCAAGCCAAGGGGACGTTTGAGCTGTTTTGTTTTTTTACTTCTAGTCATGCATAGAATTTCATTTATTTGGGCATCGTGGTGCATAACAATTATCAACCATGTTTAGCCTCCTCCACCCCTACAGTCCACCAGTCTGCTGATTACTGCCAGAATGACTGTGCCCTCGGTTTCCTAGTGTGTGACGATTATTACTGTTATTTTAATAGATCCATGGTGACGAGCCTGTATGACATCATCCCCCAAAGCTCAATAGGACCTACGCCCTGTTGGGGCGACTCAAATGAAGCTCATGAGGAAGATGCCGCTGCTAGAACTCGAACTCGGCGTGCTCACTGAAGTTACATGACGCTAAACTTCTTACATTCATGCATTGATTCCGAGATTTACCCTGAATTAACGTAGGTGGAGCTGCGCACACGTGTAAATTTAAAAGCTTCAATTCACACCAGAGTGTCAGAGACGCTCCTGCTACACCAGCCTGCACATCTTCTCACTGTTTTCAGACATCGTGTTTTGCACTTGCTTTTTGTTCTTAACATGTGTATTTGTTGTTGTTTTTTTTGTTTGGTTGTTTTTTTTTTTTTTATGTTAAGGTGTATTAAGTTAGAATGTGAATTAAGTGTAGAACTGCAGAACACATTTAAGATGGTTAGGGCTGATTTTATTGTAGATATTGTAAATAAAGTTTACAACATCTATATCTATAAAGCTACATTTCTACTTCATCTTGTATTTGTAGTTTAATGAGGTTTAAATCTATTAACATGCACATAAAACACCTCAGTGTTTTTTTTTTTCCTTAATTAATGGTTCATGTAACATACATTACGAGTGTGATTCAAACCTTATGTACATACAGGTAATAAAGCCGATATGTTTATATTGTGATACAGAATCCTGCACCGACAGATACGGACAAATAGTTGCTGAAACGGGCGGGTTTTATCGTTCTGGAATTTTACGGACAGGTATGGACTAAACCAGGTCTAAACCAGGACTAAACCAGAACTAAACCAGGTCTAAACCAGGACTAAACCAGGTCTAAACCAGGACTAATCCAGGTCTAAACCAGGACTAAACCAGTACTAAACCAGGACTAAACCAGGACTAAACCAGGTCTAAACCAGGACTAAACCAGTACTAAACCAGTACTAAACCAGGACTAAACCAGGTCTAAACCAGGACTAAACCAGGTCTAAACCAGGACTAAACCAGGTCTAAACCAGGTCTAAACCAGGACTAATCTTGGACAGAGAGAGAGAGCGAGGGCCCGAGCGCGCGGTAGACTCACAACACAAAAGGCCAGAGCAAGAACTTGTCCAAACCTGGACTCAACAAACTTTTTTACTCTCAGACTTTTATTACTCAACCACCAGTAGAACGGAGAAAGCCCGAGCATGACCGAAAAACGAGCCAGAGAACTGTGAAAGGGCAGGGCATGCAAGTCTGTTTCCTGCCGTTCAAAACTGAAAAAGACCAGTACATTATTAAACATGTGGCTGCAAAGGGACATTCCTATTTTTGGACGCGCACTGTTAACTAAGGCTGAAGGTTTCTCCAGACTGGTTTATCCTGCGCTCTCACTTTCTGTAAAGGACTCACCTGCCATAGAAATGAATAGGACCTTAACAAATTTCATCTGGAAAAACAAACACCATCACCTAACAGAATCCCTATGGTACTATTCATCAACTTTTTTCATGCCCAGTTAGCTCCACCTACTGGAAAGAATGTGAACTTTTTCTTTCCCAGAATGTACATGTCCCAAAAACCCCAAAGAAGAAAATATCATTACTCTCTATACACATCAAAATGCAAAAATTGATAAACTAATGAATTCACTTATTCTTCTTGGCAAATACCATATCCATAGAGCAAAATTCTCAAAAACAAAACCATATTTTCCATTACTGCTAATTAAAATAAATCAATATTTTCAATCTATTCACCACTTATCCTGTAAAAAAGCTATTTCAATAACCAACCTATACAAAGACTTCATACACAGTTCGATGTCCTCCACCTCCCCCAAATCAGTTTCATTTAGGTTCCTTTACTAGGCTTGATATACTGTCATTTATTTTATTTTATGTTTCCATTCTTTCTTTTCCACAATGTTATGAATGACTGGAAATGTCTGCTTTGTGCGTTTGTATGTGAAATGTAAAAAAAATTAAATTAAAATAAAACACCCTGTCCTGCCCTAAATACAGAGATATTTAACAATCTTTGGCTGTGAATTCCATATGGACCATAGATATGATACACTTACCAGAGGAGAGGCAGAAAGTTCTGGAAGTCCTTCACCCAGTAGTTAATAGTCCACTTTGTTAAAAGTAGTGTAGTTAATTCCTGGCAAAGAAAGCTGTTTTGGTTTCTGTGTCCAGCTCTTTCTTTGTCTCTGAGCTGCTGCAGTTGGTGAAGTGTCCCTCCACTCCTCCCCACTCCTCTGATTGGACCACAGCAGCCAATCAGGAGGATCTGAGCAGCTCTTCAAAACTCACATGAGACACAGACATTACGCTGAACCACAAGAAACAGGGCAGTATTAACATAATGAAGGCTGTACCAAGTGGTAACGTTTCTTGAGTGCATCACATGTGCATATTAAACATTGAATTTATATATTTGTTTGATTATTATACATTGTGTTCATGTTTAACCACTGAAATTGTATGTATGTTTAAAGGTACCACTATGTGAAACATGTATGTTTTTAAGGTCATCTTTTGCAGATATAGGTTGTGTTCTTAAGGAAATTCATTGCAGAGCAGCAGCAGTGGGGATGGTTCGGCCTGGTGCGAAACAAAACAAACTGGTGATTTACATTTGGCTGCTGTCAACCCCCCTGAACCTAAAGGAATGCAGAGAAACTCCAAGGAAGATTCAAGGCGTTACCTGTTCAACATCTTATTTGCATATTCATATGGATGTCTGTTAAGGGTATCTGACTCGCGCAGACTTAACGTGGTGAAAAGAAAGCGGGGCGTGTATTTCTCAGTTCAACCTTTTATTATCACACTACAGTTCTTTCTTGAATCATATATATGTTTTAACAAAAATGCGTGCATACGTCACACGTCACCTCAAGGAAGCTGAACCAATCAAACCATTACAATTTAATACAACATTAATAAGAGCGTTATTCCTTCAAGTACATTCAACAATGTCTATAAAAATCTGGGTTAAGTTAGTTCAGAGGCAGTCAGATTTGCCTGATTTAAGACCTGTGTAGCCGTAGGCGGTCAGGGTTAGTGATCTGACCCAGAGCTCTGTATTAGAATTGTATTGAATAGGGAATAAATTCTTTTTGATTTTAATTGATCGATTCCAGTGGTTATTTTTAAGAGAACACGCTTAATGGTTTTTGAAGATACCTAACAATAATAAAGGTGATTAAGTGTCAGTGAGCCAGGTGGATTAGTGCATGGAGCTGTGGGCTGAGGCAGAGGTGTGAAGGGCTCAGGGAGTGGAGCATTGACAAAGAGAACACTGATTTAAAAGGTAAAGACTATGTTAAGTAGAGATCATTTTAACTCCTGTATATTCACACATGAGATCAGATAGTCTTTATTATTATAATTTCACAGGTCTTTGCACAGTAGACAGGGGTCAGTTTATTTTTACTTTTTTCAATGACCCATTTGCCAAAACCACAACTATTAAAAGTGGGACAAACACTCAGGCCCCACCATAAAATCAGTCTCAATAGTGACATTTTACTTTACTTACAAACCAGAAGTCATCACTACAATGAACAAAAAATTGTGAATGACCTGTTTTCTAAAATATGCAGCTAAGTCATCGTTCACATCTTTAAGTCTGTCACATCTGTACTATCAGTCTGCAACCTGAAATGATGGTGTCAAACATAATAAACATAATTTAATCTACTATGACAACTAATAAACCTTTCCAACTAAAACAATACAAAACACTGAACTGTTTTCACAGCATTTGTCTGTTTTGACTTTCAGCACTTGAGTAATTAGTAACTGATGGTCTTAATAATGTGAACTGTGTTTCTATGAAGTCACATGAACTTATGTATTGTACAGTACAGTTATGTACAGTATTATAGTATATGCAGTACAGTATACTCTATATACGTGTACAGTATTATAGTGTGTGCAGTACTGTATACTCTATATACATGTATAGTATTAGTGTAGTACTGTATATAGCGTATGCAGTACTTTATACTTTATATACATGTACAGTATTATTGTAGTATTGTACTCTGTTTTTCCTTATGACCTCTTGTATATTCAATCACACAGAACCAAAAGTCACTGAAAAATTCGCAACTGTCTTCGTTTCATGAAATCAGGAGATTTACTCCTCATCTGTAGGCCAGTTCATATCGTGATGTGAAATGCTGTATTTTCTTGTCAAAGACTGTCTTGTTTGAATCAGGTCTCCAACAAGAATCATCTTTGGACGGCCAGTAGAAGGTCTTGTCTGGTCCATGATGGTGCATGAACTTTATCTTATAGTCAGTGAATTCTTCTGACACCTCGTCCACCAGACCAATCCGTGGGAGGTGATCAGAGCTGCAGCATATGAGGTTCTGAGGTCTGACAACAGGAGGGATATCAGCAGGGCCTTCGTGTTCATCTTCATCACTCACGTGTCCTTGATGAAGTGCAGCCAAATCAGGAGGGTTTGTCTGTTCACTGAGTTTGTCAACGTGCATCTGTGTCAGGGAGACAGGGACAGAACAATGGTCCTGTAATGTTTCTTTGATTGTCAGCTGTTCACTCTGAATGAATATTTGTCTTGCCTTAAGATGGGGGTAAGTCAAATTCTAAGTAAATTTTTGTGAAAATAAAAAAGAAAAGCCCTCCAACATATAGGACTACATTTTTTTTATTGGTGTCATTGAGGTCGGGCGTGTCCTTTAAAACAAGATTTGGATTCCTTATGTTTTCCCTTTTCCAGAGATTCCTTGGTTTTTGATATCAGACCAGAAATTGCTGAGTAAATGCAAATTGAAATTCGGTGACCACGCAAAACAGTGAAAGAATAAAATTACAATATGTCAGCAACTGTTGGTCCGATCATGTAGAAATTTGAGATTTTGGCTTTCCTGGCTATGATTTACCCAAACACCAATTTTCTTTGCAATTGGACAATGTGAGGGTTCAAACTGCATTTTTTTGGGTGAATTGAGGTGGAATGACCCTCAGAGAAAAACTGCCTAAGTCAAGTCATATTCTGCCTAAGTCACTTTAATTTGTTATGCAATCAGTGTGTCTTACTTTTTTTGGAGACTTGTTCACACATCTGGTTGAAGTTTCTGTTAAAATATCAATTCAAAATACCAATGTGCTAGCAAAAAAAATTAGTTTTTTCTTGTTTTTCCGTAAGTGTTCAAATATGACTTAGACAATTATCATATGAGGCTAACGCACTATGCTCAGGTGAAAACTTGAATATGAGAGGATGTCAGAAGAGTCTTACCTGGGCTGTGGAACTGGACTGTTGCTCAGTGGTCCAAAGTCCTCTTCTCAGATGAAAGTAAACTTCACATATATATTTTTTTAAATTAAGGTCCCAGAGTGTGGAGGAAGAGTGGAGAGTCACAGAATAATACCTGGACATTTTAGAGCACTTAATGCGGCAAAGGCGTGGTTCCAAACATCTAAAGGGGGATTATGAAGGTGCACAAACATGTGTCTCCATGATGCGGTTATTGTGTCTCAGGGAAATGATGGGGATTAGAGAAAGGGGAAGGTGAACACCTTTTTATTTCACTTACAGACAACATTCAAGCCCATTGCCCTGTAGGATACATGACACATGATACACGGTGGAGTATGTCCACCTCTGCTGCTCTTATCCCTTTAACAGGCCATGTGATGAAGATGTGATGAAGATGTGATGAAGATGTTCACATGTACAAGGGAGACAAGCTGATGACCAAATATTAACACACTGGGTGTTTACACTGGGGAGAACAAAGCAGTCCTCCTAAAAGAAAAGCTTCAAACATCATGTGGTCACAGGTGAAAACATACAGAAGGTGCTCACTGCAGTCTGCACACTCCCTGTGTCTCCACGCGGTGTGAGCATGGATTCAGAGCAAAGAACCACACACACACACACACATGATACGAGTAGAACACACACATGTGCACAGTGAATACACTGCTGTTTGTCTCAGTCAGGGTCGGGCATGCTTCCTTCCCTGACCACTTCGCTCCCTGTGCTAAGTCACTCCACCTTTAGATCACTATCACAACACAATCAGTGTACGTCCTTGTAATGAAACTACTGCACATCGCATCAGGTTTGTGTACAATTTTGAAACATGTTTTTTGTATATTTATGGAGAATTGTTGTGTGGGAGCATGGGTGATGTAGGCTTGGGGGCTGAGCATTGAACAGAATCTTAGAGCTAACCATAAGGAGGATTTAAATTGGGCCCAGGAGAGTTTGCTTAAATCATAACAATAATAACATCTTCAACCTTTTCATGTATGATTTTGATGGACTGTTATAACACAGTAGAAAGCTTGATACCTCATAATAAAACCTCCTCTTTAAATAATATTTTAGCGTATAATTAAACCACAAAATATCATCATGTCTCGAGCTTGAAGACAGTAATTTGCCCGGTGTCGGTGTGGAGGAAAAACAATCCACTCAGTTTGAGCTTTGCAAACTTTATTGTCCAAGGGGAATGTTTGTGCAAGACATTATTCCTGAAGATTAGTCAACACAGTAGAAAGTCATACCCCCCCCCTTCAACCCCACACACACAGTACAGTCCAGGGGAGAGGGGCGGGGCTAGATGCTCGGGGGCGGGGCGTAGCTGGTGTGGCACTTGGGGAGTCCGGGCGGCACACAGCATCAGTAGTTCCAGCAGCTTTGGTCCCCAGCTCGGTGAAACTGCGTTCACCCAGGGCACAGCGAGGGGGCCCGCACTAGGCACTTCAATAGATACGCTACGGCTGCATCCCATTTCCCACCTCCTCGAAGCATCAACTCCTCAGTCTCGAAATAGGTTGTGTTCACATGACATCACATCAAGCTGCATATAGTTTTAAAAATCCTTACGCAAAAGTTTCTCTCCTGACTTTTGAGCCATGTTAGAATGTCGTTACCTCCTCGAAAACAGACATGGAGCTGGGTTCTGTTTCATTCACACATGTCTGAGTAATCCTGGATTATTCTGTCTATCTCCAAAACTCAAAATGCTCTGCTCCACCTTGTGATGTCATGTAGTTTGTAGTTTTAAGTTTCAAGTTAATAGCAATTGAGATCAGCAGTTCTGGGGTGAAATCATCCAAATGATTCTAGTGAAGGTGCATCTCAAGGTGGAACAGAGTGTTTTCAAATTGAGAGAAGATCTAAAAACCCTAATAAATATGCAGGGTTTGTGAGTTAAACGTGTGTATGAAACAAAACACACGAGGAAACAACATTATAACACTCATCAGAAAACATCGTAATATGAGCCCTTCAAAATTGACCAGGTTTATGGTTAATATTTCTGTAATTACTGGGCTACACTGAATTTCCCATAGTTTTATACAGAAATTATGACAATATTAAATTATAGAATGTGATTATAGATGTTGAAAATGGATGATGGCAGATTTTAAAACAGAAAATCCACAAATGTTGAACTGCATTTGGATTGGTATGATGAAAAAAACAAAACAAAACAGAAGAAAAAAAAAAAAAAAAAAAGAGTAGTGACGGAGGAGATTTGAATTATGTGACTGTTTTTGTTTTTAGGGTAAACCCCACTAACATAACACTAACCATATACCAGGTCACATCTGCGTTAGGGATTTTTCCGCAGCCAATTCAAAGAATCCTGACTTGTCTTTCATCTCTATTTTAAAGCCACACCATGTAACGTTTCTCTATGGAGATGTTATTGCTTTGCCTAAAATGTGCCACAGTACGCTTTAACACTGATCTATCTTCATGGAGACGAGTTGATAACACAATTAGGCCAAGTCACAAGTCAGATCTGTGAAGAAGTGACCCCGTTCACAGTAGGAATGCCTGTTTTTCGAGTAATAAAAGATGATTGAATACATGCAAGGCAAACATTTTATGTCATACTGTGGAACATTCCAGGTAAAGGAATTACATCTCCACGGGGACGAGGTGGCAGACCCTCCATTAAACAGTTTGTGCAGCAAGTTCTTTCAGAAAACAAAAATGTGTACACAACCCATTTCTCCATTTTCGACCGAAGCCGTTCCCTATTGGCCGTTCACCTCAGTGGGCGGGACTAAAAGCTGACCAATCATAGAGTTCCTACGGGAGGTCATGAGGAATGGGATGCACCCTACAGGGGCTCATACAAAGGCTGCTTTGCCTCACAATTCCACAACAACATTGCTCCTCAAACGTTACTAATGTGGTTCATCAAGATTTTCAATTCAGTATCGTCCTATGCCAAAAATTTGACTCTTGTGAGCTTTAAGTCATGTTATAATACTGACACCTCCCCAAAAACATACCCAGAGTTGTTTTATTTCATTCACACATGTTTGAGCAATCCTTTATTAGCTTAAAATGCTCAGTTCCACCTTGTGATGTCATGTAGTTGTAGTTTTCAATTGAACAGCTCCTTTTACATTTAGTTCAGTAGAGATCGGCAATTTCAGGGCTGAAAGTATTTAAATGATTCTAGTGAAGGTGTATGGAGTTGAAAAACACAGTGGAGCGCTTCCTGTATGATCACGTGACATCACAAGGTGGAAGAGTGTTTTCAGTTTGAGAGAATTACTCAGCCTAAATGTGCAGATTTGTTTTAAAAAAAAAAAAAAAACAAATTCCAGGTATGTTTTTGATGAGGATACAATATTAGAGATCAGTTTTAATGCTACTTTGAACACAATAGGCTCTATTCATGCTTACATCACAAACCAGGAAGACGTTTGGAAACATCAATGACAACTTCCGGTGTAGTTCCCGACACTGGACTCCCCGACCAACTGTGATCAAACCCACTGAAGTAAATATGAGCAGTGGTAAAATGAAGACTGCAGACGTATGTGCTGTGGCCTCATCTCTTCTAATCACATGTCCCCAGTGTGCTCGGAGTTGTGTGTCAGTGTGGAAATGATGAAAACTGAGGTGTGGTTGGAATTATTGATTAGCAGAACATAACGGAACACTACAATGACATGGAGATGAAGAAAACTGGAACATTTTCTCATCAGAACCCATCGGAAGTTGTAATCACGTTTCTTCCTGGTTTGTGACGCAAGCGTGAATAGAGCCTATAAATGACAGGAAGGGTTACTAAACGCTTTAAAAACACAGAGGAGACCCTGTGAACTGACACAAGACGATGTTACAGTAAAGGTAAAGGTTGACAGGTTGAGGTTAGACTATAAATTTACTCATGTATTCAACATTTTGCTTTAAGTATGACCTAGTTTCCCTTAGTTTGACCATTGTGTTAAACTATATGAACCATTTACTGCAGGTAGGCCTACAATACAACCAAATTAGAAATACATGAAATAAATACAGGTCATACCACTTTAAACACCGTAAACCAAGATGGGAATGGACATAAAAGGGGCTCTATTATGCAATTTTCTGATCTTTTATGTCATTTTCTCATCAAAAACCTACCTGGAGTTGTGTTTTGTTTCATTCATGCACGTTAGACACGCAAACCCTGCAGGAACCCTCTCTCTGTCTGAGGAGAGGAGTTTTCAAACAGAAAGCACCAGTGATGTCATGATGCGATACAGGAAGTGCTCCACTGTGCAAGAATCATTAGGATAATTTCAGACCTGGAATTGCCGATCTCTACAAAAAACTGGTTAAAAAAAAAAAGGTAACTGTTGACTTTAAAAGCGCTACTTCATGACATCACAAAGTGCAGCAGAACATTTTGATCTTTAGAGATGTAGACAGACTAATAATGCAGGATTACTCAAACATGTGAATGAAACAAAACACTACTCAAATGTTTTTGATGAGGTAACAATGTTCCAATGTGACTAAAAGTGCACAAGAGTCAATTTTGCACATTATTCGAGCTTAAAAACACAGATGTCAAGAGCTTTGAGCAACTTCTGAAAGAGTCAGTTTAGCAAGACAGGACCTTTAAAGACAACACAGGAATTAAGATTAAAAGTGAATTGTGATATAGGGTCTAAAGGGAAATATAGAGAATGTATTTATTCCATTGTTGACTTTTATCCCCTAACTGAGCGCTGGTGTGAGCAGCGGTGTGCGCTTGGTCAGGAGCGTTGTGGTCATGTGAGGCAGCAGCACAGATAGCTTATCCAACACGGCCCGTACTCTGAGCCTGTTCAGTGGCCGGCGCTTCAGGGCTGCACAAAGTAACTCACTTTAGATGTTTTTATTCCTACATCCATTTCAGGAAAATACTAAATTCAGAAATATTTACACTGCTTTCTAAGAAAACCCTAAAAATCTGAATAATTATTCGAAAATGCCACAATAATTAAAGGAGCTGCAGGTAAGACTCCGCAAACATGACATTACTGTGTCCCCAAATATGAGGTAAACATGTTCAAAACAAATCTAGTTTTTACAGAGAACAACTGGAATTAGGGATGTGCAAAAATATTGAAATATCGTTGTATCATATCGTTTAATGTGATGATACAGTATCGACATCGTGGGCTGCTCTATCAATATAATCACTAAGAGTATTTTTTGTATTAACTTAATAAAATTATTAATTATTAAACTAAATTATTTTGTTACAGTGCTAGTTTAGTTGCTTTTTTAGTGAAAGGAAACTCTTTATGCAACAAATTTGACATTTTCACTGTTTTGATGATTTAAATGTTTGTGTTTCATATGAACTTTGTACAAGAAGTAGTTTAACAAACACTTTTAAGAGTCAGAATTGCGATTTAGCGTTTATTTTTTATTGAATCATATCAAATCCATTTGAAATAAATCTTATTGAATCGTATCGAACTGTAAGCTCACTGTATCGAGATATGTATCGTATCGTGGTCTATGTATCATTGTAAGTATTTTAATGGCAACTTCTGAACTACCAGCCCTAACTCTAATGATAATTTATTCTTCATTACAAAAACACTGGACATCGAGGTTTTTATGGGATAATTTGGTGCTCTCAAGACGATTCTCCAATCAGAAAACAGAATGAGCCTCACATGAGACTCTCATTTGTGTTGCCAGTTTCAATGGTGAAATCCATTGTGTTTAAACCTAAAATGTCTCTCTCTGATCTGAATGGTGTCTACCTAAACCCCAGCCTCTGCAGACAACCATGAGTCAGTGCTAGTGCAGCCTCTGCAGCTCAGGGAGGGAATTCTGGAGGTTCTGAGCTTCACACGAGTCTGTCCATAAACTGAGAATGAGAGAAACTTGGATGTGTCTCCATCTGCTCTGGCAGATGAGTTGTGATTGTAGTACCTCTTTTAAAGCAGTAAAAGAGCGGGCTACATGCAGTTCCTTTAACAGTTCTAACATTTTAATTTGGTCCCAGTTTTATTCTGGTTCAACCTTTCTCATTTTGATGCCATTTGACTAATAAATAACAGAATATACAATTTTGTTTTAATTGAATTCAGCTTTACCAGTGTCAAAACGGTAAATTAAAACAAGTTTTTTTGTCATATGGTGCAGCCCTCTGACGCACAGCAAAGGACCGTGGCTTAAGATTCCATTTTCTAGCAGCTTTAAACGGGGCAGGCACATCAACAAGGATAACGACAAAAAAATAACTGACACTAACGTCAAGTACAATGAGCAGGAACCAAAAAATATAAAGTTCGTCAAAAAAGTATTAGAGAAAAACTTCAGGTTAAAGCACTTCAGCAGAACACCTTCTGCACGTGTGGCCCCAGAATGCAGTGGTCCAACAATAAATAAAAGTTGATAAAATCTGAAGATATTTAAAACAAAACAAAAAAAATAGCTACACACATCCACACCTTAAAGTCTCTCTGCTAAAAGGAATATCAACTTGATTTAAAATGCCTCAAAATTCTGATCATTTCTGCAGCGTTACATAATTTATACAGTGCTTTTTTGCCATTTTTATTACATTATTTATCTTATTGTATGCAAAATTAAATGTAGGCTTAATTAAAGGTACTATATTACGCAAAATTGACTATTACAAAGTGTTATAATGTTGTTATGTTGTTACCTCATCAAAAACATACATATGACTCGTATTTTATTATATCCACACATGTTTGAATTATGTAGGTGTGCACCAATAATGGTATCAGGATCGGTTTCATGATATTGGTTCAGCTGATATCCCAGTTGGGCCTTAATAAGTCTATTTACAGGCTGATTTTGAGCGAGGACGTCTGAACTTTTATTCATACAAAACTGTTCAGTAATTATTGGAAGGGTAAATAACAGTTACATGACAGAATTGGATCTCTCGTGTAATAAGTTAAGTGCGTTTTCAGGTGCCATTTTCCATCCCTACACAGATATTGGTTTGTATCGGATATCGGCAGATGCTTAGTCATAGTATCCATATCGTTGACGGAACTCAAAAAGCCGGATCCACCTTGTGATGTCATGTAGTGGTAGTTCTCCAGTGAACAGCTACATTCTACTTTTAGTTCAGTACAGATCGGCAATTCCAGGGCAGAAATGATCCAAATGATTCAAGCGAAGGTGTTTGGAGTTTAAAAACACAGTGGAGCACTTCCTGTACCTCAGGCTAAATCTGCAGTTTGTGTCAAATATGTGTGAATAAAACAAAGAACTCCAGGTCTGCTTGTGATGAGGAAAAAACATTATAACAAAGATAGAAAATAGCGTAATATGGGCCCTTTAAAATACAAATCTCATTATTTTGAGAATTCAAGTTGTTATATTATATCAAAATTGAATATTCCTTTCTTGCAGTGCACACAAACAATGGCTTTCAGTAGAAGAACATTTTACCTTGACTCTCACTTGTACTCATTCATCCAGTACATCATCAGTATGTAGTATTAATGCACAGTGGGAGCAGGGCTGGCTACCGTAAATCATTCAATTCTTGTACTGTATAAAAGTGATATCTGTAAGCAGATAAACTTAAAAAAAAAAAAAAAAAGATTTCACATTATGGTTTTAGAGATATGCTAAATTAGAATGTTGTAAAATGCTGTAAAAAGAGCTGATGAATAAAAATAAAAAAATAACCTTCTGAGCAACAGTGACTGAAATTCTCAATTGAAGTAAATTTCTGACAACTCTGCACTTTAAAACAAAAAAATAATTTGAATTTTTAAAACTGAAGTAGATTTAATTTGACCTAGATATTATTTCTTGCAGAGTAAAGTTATATTTTTGGATTTTTATAGTTAGCTTTAAAATTAATTAAAGTCTGTATGATGCTTGAAACTCAAACTAGACATACCGTATTTTCCGCACTATAGGGCGTGCTTCATAAACCTCCAACCCCATCAAAAAACGACCGCGCGCGTCACAATCCAGAGCGCCCAATTCACGAATCCACTCGGGTGTCCCAGCACGACTTCAATAAACTACAAAACCGCACCACCTGCAGAACACGCAAACACACACGGAGCAGACAGCGACCACGCGACGACACACACCGGCAGCCACACTCATCACTCCACACAGACGAGGAACGAACCGAAAAAGAGACTGCAGTGTGCCACTTCTAGACACAACTGAGTCACTGCGAACAACGCCAACAGACACGCCCAGACAGCACCCTCCCTACACGCCACAACTGAACAAAACCACTGACCCATCCAACTGTTGTGTTTCCTTTAAATTCCGCTGCGGTTTATTTGTGAAAAAAGTTCGAAAATAGAAATAGATTTAATGACAGTGCATCTTTTAATCCAGAGCGCCTAATAGTGTGGAAAATACGGTACATTTACAGCTATTTATCAAAAATGTGTTAAAACACTTTGCACATTTGAGGATTTCCATATTATAATTGTTAAAAAAAAAAAAACATAAATGAGATTAAATAATTTGGATTTCCCATTTACAGTATCCTGCTCTTAGATTTTCTTAAATATGTTCATAATCACTGTTGTGTTAGAGTGATAGACCCTGAATTACACTGCACTTGTATCAAAAATGGTAGTATTCACGTAGCAGTGGGATAAACTAAGTTATAGTTTACTCAGCGCAGAAAAAAAATGTAAGCGGTACCCAGCCCTATTTTGTAGAAATATTATGTCACAGCACATGCAGGTGAAAAGTGTATGTCCAACCAAAAAAAAAAAACTCCTTCAAAACAACAAAATGGAACTCAAATATGAAGTGTGCACATGTAGGATACACTAGAGGACTCGAAGGCAGGAATGACCAGCAATCAAACAACCAAATTTTCTGTACAATTTTAAATGTAGCATACTTCTGCAAAAGAAAAAAAAAAGAATTAAGTTAAATTTAGTTTTAAGCCTAAACAGTGATCTTTAAAATCAAATATTTAAAAAAATGGTTTAGATAGTTAGAATAAATTGTACCATTTTGTTAATTTTTTTTTTTTATTATTAATTTTGTATCAATATTTGACCAGTTAACTTGTTCATGCCAAGTCCTGCTCGAGTCCTCCTACTGGAAAGAAAGCGCAGTATTTGGACATTCTTAGTCAGGGTAATCAAGCATAAAAACTGCAGTTCTGGCGCTGCGAAATTCACTCGTCTCCAGAAACGTCTCCATTTTGAAGTGTTTTCCTGTCCCCCTACAAGCCTGAGGCAGTCTTTGGTGGGAGGAGGAGGAGAGGACTCACAGTAACAGGGGTCATAACGAGTCCAGAGCCCAGGCATTGAACCCTCAACCTCGAAGTTGAGAGAAAAACACTGTGCAGCCCAGTCAGTAATTGTAAAGTTTCAATACTATGTTATCAGGAATCTCAAGTAGTTTTTCAGCAGGATAATCCAGATTTAAGGCTTTTTCTGAATATAGAAGATGCAGTGATCAGTCTGTCTTTCCCCCACGATTTACACAGTGAAACAAAACACCCGCAGATGGGTTATATTCCAATAGTCACTGCATCAGAGGCTCCATAGGTCAGAAAACAGAGACTGCACAAAGGCCAACAGTAGTGCACCACTCCTGAGGCGCTGAGCAGAGGAAGGCCACAGACACACGACCTGCTCCTGTTTAGTGCACTCACGTCTGTGGAAATGATCGGAGACAAAGCTTTGTGCTGGGTGAAGCAAACATGACTGTTCTGATGAAAAGAAAGTATGATGGAGGAGCAGGCGCAGAGCTCTGCTGCTCACTGCCTCAGAGACTTCAGATTCCACCCTGAGCTCGTCCAAGTAGTCTGCATTCATCTGTACCCAGGGTGATGTCCGTGCAGAGGCCCCCCAGGGCCGGGCTCCTGCCCGGGGCCACGCACGTCCAAGCTCTGGTCCCCAAAACGTGGCATCTGGAAGTTCCCTGGCAGGAAATCCAGATTGGGCATCAGCTTGGGCTGAACACCAGGGTCCTCCTTCCCTGGTTTGTATTTTTGCCCGGGAAACCTATCTGAGGGGCCCTGTCGGGGGCCCTGAAAACCTGGCCCTTCCTGAGGCGGGCCCCAGGGATGCTGCAAGTACTGAGCCTCCATGTAAGGCAGAGAGCCCCCAGAGCAGCGAGGAGGCGACGAGCGGGTTTTGTCCTGGTGTTTGAGGGGGAAAGACTGGGCAGAACCGGGCACTTTGTGGGGATAGTTGAGGTTCTGAGCAGGGCCAAAGCCACAGTCGGCAGGAGGCTCCAGACGAGGGGTCTTACAGGGATGGGCCCCCTCTGGAGGCTGCTGCATGTGGGCCAGCTGGTGCTGGGCCCAGGAGCGCTGAAGGAGGCTCTGGGCCTTATCGGGCTCACTATGAAAGCTCTGCAGTCCATTAGGAGCATTCATGTTGTGCTGAGCGTGCAGAGAGGGCCCAGCGGGGTGACCGGGGGCTTTGTCCAGACTTCCCCCCACATGGAAGCTGTTGGCTGAACCCGGGGCCGAGGGGTGGGCCACTCTAGAGCTGGCATTGATCAGCAGGTTGCGGCTGATGGGGCTGGGGTTGGCAATCTGACCCTCACACACAGATGTACCGCCCATGCCAGCACGAGCCTGGCACAGCTGGTTTATCTGCAGAACAATGCTGCTTAAGTCCCCATGGCGGTTCTGGTGCAGGCTGGCCGCCATGGACAGAGGGATGGTAGAGGTAGACACAGTCACATTTGGAGGGGCATCTGCATCTGGTAGTTTACGAGGCCCGTAGTGACCCTGGGGAGGCTGCTGAGTAGTGTCACCCACGAAAGGAGTTCCCTCAGGTGGGTCTGGGTGCGGTGCTCTGGGGGGACCCTGCTGTGGACCTCCTGAGGGGCAAGGTTGTAGTCCTCCAGACACTCCAGCTTGGGGTCCTCTAGGAGGACCCTGTTGAGGTCCTCCGGGAGGACCTGGGTGTAGTCCTCCAGGTTGAGGTGCTGTTTGGCCTGGGTGTAGTCCTCCAGGTTGAGGTGCTGTTTGGCCTGGGTGTAGTCCTCCTGGTTGAGGTGCTGTCTGGCCGGTGTGTAGTCCTCCTGGTTGAGGTGCTGGGAGACCTGGATGCGGTCCTCCTGGTTGAGGTGCTGTTTGGCCTGGGTGTAGCCCCCGTGGTTGAGGTGCTGTTTGGCCTTGGTGTTGTCCATGTGGCCTTGGATGGGGGGGTCCATGGGGTCCAGGCTGTGGCCCTCCTGGGGGGTGACTGGATGGTCTTACAGTGGTCATAGTTTGAGTCTGGTGTGCCATGTTGAGCTGAGGCATGTGGTGGAGCTCCTGGGATGGGGTGACTAGAACGTTGTGGGGGACATTGTGAGGGACATTATGGAGGGCCGTGTGAGGAGGAGCGGTGCCATGGTGCCTGAGTGTGTGCAGCTGTGGTGCTTGCTGAGTTGGGGGGGCACACTGCTGGGGCAGGGGCACACTCTGCTGCCTCTGGAGGCCATGAGGGTAGGCCGGCCTCTGGCTCGTCTGGAGATGGGACAGGCTCTGCTGCCGCTGCAGGGGCCCTGGGTGGGACAGGCCCCTGTGCTGCAGGGTTGGGGGATGCTGCACAGTCTGTGGTAAGGTCTGAGGAATGGTCTGAGGGGTCTGCTGGAGGCCCATAGGATGTGTGAGAGGGGGCTGCTGTGAAGGGCCCTGCATGTGAGTGCTGTTCAGACTGCCCTGAGGGCCATAGGGACCACTGTGGAGGTTCATGGCTGCTTTCTGCAGGGTCCGGGCGCGAGTAGTGGGTTGCTGCTTGACAGGAGCTCTGAGCACAGCCAGAAGGCCTGCACTGGTGCTTAGCTGAGAGGAGTAGGGGCTGTGGCGCTGAGAGGACGTGTCAAGACCGTTGACAGTGCGCCGGACGTGTTTCCTCTGAGGGACTTTGATGCTGTTGGGGAAGATTTGGATTGTCAGAGGGCTGTTGGCAACTTTCTTAGCATACGCGTCCAACTCTGCAGGGCTGGGGTAGGTCGGAGATCTCATCTTCTGAGTGGTTTCCCCTGAAAGAGAAACATGGTTAGAAAATGTCGTTTACATATTTAACCATTCAAATGAATTGTGACAGCAGTCTTGTCTGACCAGCCAGTCTTTTCTTCAAAATGTAGACATTTTAGATGATCCAACCATTGCCACTAATTTGTAGCACGTGTCTCGCAAATGTGGAAGACATGTTCGAGAATCAAAAATTCTCGTAACATTCAGAACAAAATATATAACTTATTTTACCTGAAATAGTGAGATTTTTACACAATCAAAGTCATTTATGTAGACTTATCTCCTTCTTTATGTGTAAGCAGCCATGTTTGTGTTGGCTGCAAACGGAGCATGCAGCTCTGACTGGTTAATCCACCTGTCAATCACACCCTCTGAAATTGGGGAGACCGGATACAGCTTTAGATCCACTCCTCTTTGTAAAGTTTTGTCAAACGTGTGGTTCTGCATGCTCAGATAAACAGCTGTCTACAATCCTAATAATATATATCCCAGTCCTATAGTTGGAAAATTGACTAAATTGTACCGTATTTTTCGTACTATAAGTCGCACCAGCCAAAAAATGCGTAATGAAGAAGAAAAAAACATATAAGTCGCACCAGACTATAAGATGCACTTTCTGGGGGAAATTTATGTTATAAAATCAGGGACCAAGAACAAACATTTCATCTTGAAAGGCAAGTTCTAGTAAAAATAACACTAGAATAGAGAACAAGAGGCTGAATAGGCGTTAATATGTTAACGTCACATACGTCAGATAACTATAGCATAAACAACAGAACATAAGTTTACCAAACTCTCCATCGCACTCCAAATCACTAAATCCATTCAATTCTTCATCCGCTGTGTCACTTCTGAGCAACTTCATGCAACTTTGGTTATCATGGGAGTCCATGCTTTGTCATCCAGTGACTTCAAGGAAAGTAGCACAGTGCACGGTTGCCGTGAGGCTGTGTCCTCCATTCCCGCTTTCCACCAGTCCCTCACAAGTTTCTCGCTCACTCCAAACTTTCTATCTGTTGCTTGATTATTGTTTTCTGCTGCATATTTCACTACATGCAGCAGGACAGTGGCTTTTTCTGCCGGAGACATGCGCAGAAAACTGATGCACAAGCCAAGACTGCCATCTCGCAGCTGTCAGTCTGAAAATTTTAATATACAAGTCGCATTGGGGTATAAGTCACAAGAAACACCCAAACCATGAAAAAAAGTGCGATGTCTGAAAAATACGGTACATAAAATAGAATATAGAAATACTAATTATAGCAAGCTATGTGCCAGTATCTTTCTTGCTTCAAATGTTAGTATTGTTGCAGAAGATGACTCCTCGGTGCCATAATTCTGTCCAGAAGTGAACACATGCACCCAGCAGTAAAGGGGAGTTATTCCCTCTGCTCTGGGCTTCACGCTCAGGTGTTGAGTAAAGCTGTTTGTCACTTACATCTCGGAGGTCCAGTGTTCATCTGCAGGCACAGAAGAGAGGAGGCAGAGTGTGCAGAGGCCGGCAGACAGGCCAGCATGTCAGGGATCCTACAGACATATGAGCCCAGGCTTCCTCACCACACTGCAAACAGCACAGAAAACACAAGTCATTTTACAGCAGCACATTCACTCACAGAGATGACTCAGGAGTAAAGCTGCACAATATATCAGAAAAATATCAGTACTGCAATATTGGCTGATGCAATAACCAATATCGCAAGAAAATAAATATATCGCATTAACACAAGGCTCTCCATTTTACAGAAATATACTGTTTTTGAAAGGAAAACTGACAAAAAGGCAGATTGTATTCTACTGACGTAGGCCTTTAATCCTTTAGTCAGTTCAGTCAAGGAAGTGTTCGTGTTCTAAAATTTGTATTATTCGACTATGTAGTCTTATGAGCGCGGGTGTAGTCTTATGAGCGCGGGTGTAGTCCCGGGAGCGCGGGTGTAGTCCCGGGAGCGCGGGTGTAGTCCCGGGAGCGCGGGTGTAGTCCCGGGAGCGCGGGTGTAGTCTCGGTGTAGTCTCTGGAGCGCGGGTGTAGTCTCGGTGTAGTCTCTGGAGCGCGGTGTAGTCTCGGTGTAGTCTCTGGAGCGCGGGTGTAGTCTCGGGAGCGCTCTACTGATCTTATTGTGCGAAAATATTTATTACAATATGAAAAACGAATATCCCAGGTTTTCCACACCTTTAGTTCATGACAGTAAATGTGTGGTGGATTGTGTGAAAGGACTGACACTGACATAACATAAAAACTAACATAATAACAATGAAAAATTGAGCTGGAGAACAGGTTAGAATTCAGTGATAGACTCAGCTGTTTAGAGACCACAATACTGGAGGCTGCACATCACATGCATCATGATTCCACGGAAAAGGAGCTCAACAGTAACGGCCCGCCCCCAGTTCCTGAAGCATAATTCCCATTAATTTTTCTCATAGACCTTCTGAAAAAACAGATATATTAAAAGTTTGAAAGCTTGCTCTGGGCTAATCAGTTAAGATCTATAATATTATTTATCAGATCCTGAATTTTTAAAACACTACGTTAGTAAAAAATATTTGTTGAATCTTGAGGTTTAAAAGTGCATTTCAGACTTAAAACAACCGCATAATGTCTTTGAACTCTAAACATTTGAATTTTTTAAGTCTAGAGGAAAAATGAATTGAAATTTTTCTCCCAGAACCAAAATTTATTAAAGTATCTGGGACTGTTGAGATCCATAGAAAGTTAAAACCATACTCTGGAAGATTCTGCATGGAAACAGAAATCATTTAATGTCATATTGTGGTATGTTAAGCCAAAGGAACAAAATTTCCATAAAAAATTGCAGCAAAAGGCCTTCCCACTGGCAAAATAAGAGTCAAGTTTAAGGAAATGTAAGGAAGCATGTTTTCTACATTTTTCAGTGCAATAAAAATAACCAAAATGAAAAACATGCTTTTATTTTTCTCTAGTTTTTGAACGTTAAGTTACATGCTGTGCCTTTAACTGTTACATTTCAGATCTGTAGACCTGGTATATGAAAAACATCTTGCATAAAACAAAACTGGTACAAAGTTCAGGATCTCTTTTTTTCACAAAATTTAGGAAATAGGTGAATCTGCTGAACACCAGAGACACGGCTGTTGTCATTTCAAACAACCTTAAACCGTAAGATTAATATGACAAGTATGTGGAGCCAATCCAAGCAAATAATGACAGAATGTGTTTAATTTGTGGATTTGGTCATTCCTTTCAAAACAGTGAATCTCCCATAAGAGTTTCACAGGCCCTGCCCTCCATCTGAAAATATGCCATCATCCAATTCCAGAACTCAACCTGTTTTAACGACCTTTACTCCAGAAACGACTCATCAGTGACGGGAAGATCACTCACACTTGAAGGCAAACCAAATCTTACGCATAACAAGCATCCATGTTTAGTAAGCAGCCTCCCAACGACAAAATTTTACTCTAGATGAAGGCAGCAGCTAACGAAGGTAGAGAAGGGAAGATCAAATATGCTCTCGTGTGAGTAAATAACACGTAGAACTAAAAAAAAACTACAGATAAGACAGTGGATCGGGCTCGGTGGCTGGTTGGTGAATGAGGCTCAAGTTAGCTACAGCTCACAGCAGTCTCTTTGTGCGGAGGACAGGCCAGCTGCTGCCCAAACTTTAGCTCCATAAAGGCGGATCCCCGGAGCAGAGCGGCCCGGGACAGCGCGTACTTACTCCGGACACAGTCAGGAGCGAGGCCGCCTCATCTTGTGCGAATGTGGCGCAGATTGGAGCTTAGATGAGGGAAAACATCGCAGGTTCGGAGAGGTGTGCTGCGGCTGCTCTGGGGCTACGGCAGCAACGTTTGATGCGCATGCGCGGTGGGCAGGCGGAGGACCCGTGTGCTGCTGGAGGTGTCCGAGTGGAACGCCTGAGTGAAACAGCAAAACATTTTCTTTTTTTTTTTAATACATAGATGTTTAGTGTTGTAGTCAAGACCGCACTAATCGAGACCAAGACCAGTCCGAGACCACAGGGTCCAGGACAAGACCAAGACCTGTGAGAGTCAAGACCGAGACAAGACCGAGACTTTTAAAGGCTGAGACCGGAGACAAGACCAGGACCTTTACAGGCCGAGACCAAGACAAGATCAAGACTTTTAAAGACCGAGACAAGACTGAGACTTTTAAAGACTGAGACCAAGACAAGACCGAGACTTTTAAAGACTGAGACAAGACTGAGACTTTTAAAGACGAGACAAGACGAGACTTTTAAAGACCGAGACAAGACTGAGACTTTTAAGGCGAGACTGAGACAAGACCGAGACTTTTAAAAGACTGAGACAAGACTGAGACTTTTAAAGGCCGAGACCAAGACAAGATCAAGACTTTTAAAGACCGAGACAAGACAAGACTTTTAAAGACTGAGACAAGACAAGACCGAGACTTTTAAAGACTGAGACAAGACGAGACTTTTAAAAGACCGAGACAAGACCAAGACTTTTAAAGACGAGACAAGACCAGACTTTTAAAGAAGACAAGACCGAGACTTTAAAGACTGAGACAAGACCGAGACTTTTAAAGGCCGAGACCAAGACAAGATCAAGACTTTTAAAGACCGAGACAAGACTGAGACTTTTAAAGGCCGAGACAAGAGACAAGGAGAGACAAGACTTTTAAAGACAAGACAAGATCAAGACTTTTAAAGACCGAGACAAGACAAGACTTTTAAAGACCGAGACAAGACCAAGACTTTTAAAGACCGAGACAAGACCAAGACTTTTAAAGACCGAGACAAGACCGAGACTTTTAAAGGCCAAGACCGAGACAAGATCAAGACTTTTAAAGGCTGAGACCGGAGACAAGACCAGGACCTTTACAGGCCGAGACTGAGACAAGACCGAGACTTTTAAAGACCGAGACCAAGACAAGATCAAGACTTTTAAAGACTGAGACAAGACTGAGACTTTTAAAGACAGAAGGACAAGAGACTTTTAAAGACCGAGACAAGACAAGACTTTTAAAGATCGAGACAAGACCAAGACTTTTAAAGACCGAGACAAGACCAAGACTTTTAAAGACCGAGAACAAGACCAAGACTTTTAAAGACCGAGACAAGACCAAGACTTTTAAAGGCCAAGACTGAGACAAGACCGAGACATTTAAAGACCGAGACAAGACCGAGACTTTTAAAGGCCGAGACAAGACTGAGACTTTTAAAGGCCGAGACCGAGACAAGTGCGAGACTTTTAAAGACTGAGACAAAAACGATTATTTTAAAGGCAGAGACTGAGACAAGACCAAGACTTTTAAAGGCCAAGACTGAAACAAGACTGAGACCACAACCCATTGAGACCAAATTAAGACCATCTTTGTAATTTTTGAGATTTATTTGTATTTTACATTTATATATCAATGTTTTTATAAATCTACCTCCATTTTATCACTCATCAAGTGTTAGACCTCAGACCGAGACAAGACGTCCAAACGCGGTCAAGTCCGAGACGAGAAAATGGTCTTGAGGCCGGACTTGAGACCAAGACCAGACCAGACGACACTACATATATTGGTAGTTTTCAGATTCTAGAACGGGAAGATGTCTCCAAAAATACCAAATATTCCTAAATGGGGGGCAAGAGACAGATTTTCCTATTGATTACATATTGATGATTACATTGCACTTTCCTATGAAGTATCTATGAGGTAAATTCACAAATGTTGAACCTGAGTATTTACAATAATAAAATAGATTGGGGGTGGTTTCTTCTTCACTGTGGCAAAAGGTGCAATATGTTTTGGTTAACCTTAAAACTACACTGCCACTACCACTACATGACATCATGAGGTGAAATGGAGCTTTTGTGCTGTGGGGATGGAGACAGCCTAACAGTAAGAGTTATTCAAACATGTGAATGCGTGATTGAAATAAAACACAGCTCCAGGTCTGTTTTTGAGGAGGAAATATGGCTTAAAGCTTATGAGTCAATTCTACACAGTATAGGACTTTTAAAACACTTCCACACACCCGGTTCATTCTGTTCATGGCATTTATGACAATTTAAACATGATTCATTTAGAAATAGTCAGGCTTCTCTTCTGTTCGCGATTTCATAACAGCAGGCGTGTGTTTCAGGGTGGGTGGCTTCGCTCTGTAAGAAGATGAAGGACAAACTGCTGTTGACTGAGGGACTTCAGAGCATTTTTGAGGCGACTCAAGAAACAGAAGATCTCGGGGCACAGGAGGTAAGACCACCCCTCATGTCCATGGTTGGTTCTTGAATGGCAGTGTAGTGCTTAAATATTTAACCTTTCATTCTTTCATTCATTATCAGCCACATTGCACTGTTTTCTCATGATGTCAAGATTTTACAGGCCCCTGCACCTCAGGCCCCTGGTTCCCAGATCCGTCTCCACCAGGTCCCCCACTGGACCTCCTACTGGATTTAAATTGCAGCCTGTCTCCAAGATCTTACACCATGAGGTCCCTGCACCTCAGGCAAGTGATAATGTCTGTTATTAGGTTCTTTTTTCAGACTAAGAGTTTGTTTTCATACTGGACAGTTTCAACTGCTCACTTTGTGGTCTTCCTTAGAGTGGTCACGTGGTGTTGCTGTAACTGATAATGTCTCTGTGCCACCTGCCCAACAGGTCTCCCACCCAGGGGCCTTAGACCTCGTGCTGGGGTTAGATTGACACCTGCATTTTGATCAGGGTTAGTTTACTTGTTTTGATATTATTTGTTCTTTCCTGAGTTCATCAATAGTTGGCTGAATCCATTTTGTTTGTCCACAGTAAAGACGTCCAACAAACCCACGTCAGAGGTCCTGGGCTTTTACTGTCCCAACAACAGATATAGCTCAACAACAGATATGTGTCACAGAATTAAATGCAGTGCTTTAGTTAGAGCCTTTTCTAGTGATGGACTAGAACAGACATGTCAGACTCAGGTCTGGGAGCCAAATTTGGCCCGTTATATAATAATATTTGGCCGAGATCATATCAAATATGTATTAGAGCTGACCTGCGGGCTACAGATAGGCTATCATTTACTTTATTCTGAAGCCAACGTATTTATCAAAGTCAAGTCAGAACCAAGTTTGAATAATCAACACTGGTCTTGTATTCTTGAATCTGCAGATGAAAATGGCACATCAGATCAGACGATCACACGGAGAAACAGAGAACACCAATTGTAATGGTCCAAACCTGACTCATTCAGTCCACATGAGTCAAAATAATAGTATATATAATATTAATATGATAAAAACAATGCCTGAAGATGATCACAATTTCTGTAATAATCGTAAACATGTACAATAGCTCCCCCGGTGCTTACACCATCTGCCACCACCACTCTTCTTTACATTGTATTCCCAGAGATGATCTAACAACTAAATGAATGTTGAACCCAAAGAAATCTAGTGGCTGACTATCAAACCCCCGCTCACTAGACTCTAGAAGTCACACAAATAATCTGTTTTAATCATGTGAGCTGCCCTTGTCTGCATGTGAATAGGAAAATAATCTTAAATTTACAAAGATCAGTTTGAAACTCCAGCTTCAACCTTGTTTATCAGTTGCTGAAATTGCAGTTTACAGTTAACAAAAAAGTATATTTTTCATGATGTAATGTTTTCATAAATAAGACATTTTAATAGGCATTTAAAAAAGGGTGTCTTCAAGAGCAAATGAATACAGTACTTCTCTTAGTTTCAGCAGTGTTTATCACTAAGATTTACAGTTAAACAAAACAAACACAAATGAATTAAAATAAATTAAGATGTTTATTTTTGTACAAAATGATGGCTGCAAACATTTAGTGAGTAAACGGGGCACAGGGTAAAAGGAGCTTTCTCACTTCAGATCCCGTTTCAAATTCACTTAAGTCTGAAACAATTACTGCTTCTAATGAATCCCATTAGTGAACTAATGCTTGGCTTTTTAATAATTGTTTATATATGACCAATGTTGTCACCGTTTATAATAAAACACATCAACAATATGCTACAGTCAAAGAGGACCAGGCATTTCATCTTTAAATAAAATCAAACAACAACAAGACAAGCTTTATTTAATGACTGCGTTACGTGTTTTGAGGGTGCTCAGTTTTTGCAGGTATTACTAAAATCCGCCAGTACAATCTAATGTGATGGAATGTCTTTGCCGCGTAGCTTCTGGAGAGTTTTCTGTGATTTAAAAATAAATTAGGGTTAGCATTAGAGAGTGTTAGAGAGAGAGACAGAACTGTGCAGAGAGCCAAGGTGTGTTAACCTGGTGGAAGTGCTGAGCTTTCAGACTCTTGTGCACCAGGGAGGGCTCCTGCTCTGGGTCTGCGTCCAGACTGACTCCTGCAGTGCACCTCCAGTTCTCAGTCACCTCGTCTGAGTTAAACATCTGAAAGAAAAGTAGGTGAGAACACAATCGACTTTGGAGTATTAAAGACACAATTTTACACAATGAGCTGCTTAATTATCATGTAAGATGTAAATGATCAATTTTCCGATCAGAAAACAGAATGAGCCTCACACCTAAACCTCAGCCCCTGCAGACAATCATGAGTCAGTGCTAGTGCAGCCTCTGCAGCTCAGGGAGAAAATTCTGGAGGTTCTGAGCTTCAAATGAGACCTGAACATAAACTGAGAATAAGAACTTGCATGTACGTCTATCTGCAGGTTAAGGCTCTGACAGCACAGGTTCAGTTGTGAGTGTAGTACCATATTTTCCGGGCTACAGGGCGCGCTCTTAAGCCCATCAAAAAACGACCGCACGCCCCACAATCCAGAGCGCCCTATACTCGGGTGTCCCAGCACAACTTCAGTAAATGTTAGAATAATTGTATATGTTATCCCATATTTTCTATGTATTGTTTTTGTGTGAATAATGTTTGTGCTTAATAACTATGCAGTGACCTGCCACCCACTCTGCACACCGCGAAAACAATGACTTATTCAGCTCTTTGCTGGGAAAGAGGACAGCTCTCAAGGTTGGCGGAAAGGAGGGGAAGCACTGTTCCTAAAGATGCTACACCTTATTGGCCACCTGCTGCTGATATACATATTTGCACAATGAAATCATGTCTGGTGTTTCTACTGCTTATTTGCTGTTTTCAACCCCTCCCCTTTAGAGAAACACCCATTGTAACTAGGGACCCTCTTATGACAATAAAAAGAGGAGACGCAGAGAGTGCATCAGAGCGGGTAGAGACTGTAACGGTAAATGCACTCTCTGTCCGACCTCCTCATGAGAAATGATATTAATCTCTTGTCTTTCTTCTTGTTTTTACAATGTTTATGTGGGCTTAAACCTGACAGTAAACTACAAAGCCGCACCACCCGCAGAACACACAAACACACACGGAGCAGACAGTGACCACACAGGGAAAAACACCCACAGCCACACTCATCACTCCACGCCGACGAGGAACGGAACGGAGGAACGAACCGAAAAAGCGAGTGCAATGTGCCACTTCTAGACACAACTGAACAACTGAGTCACTGCGAACGCGCCAAACAAAGTCCAAATGACCCATCCAACTGTTGTGTTTCCTTTAAAGTCCGGTGCGATTTATTTGTGAAAAAAGTTCAAAAATAGACCATTTAATGACAGTGTGTCTTATAATCCAGAGTCCCTAATAGCCCGGAAAATATGGTACCCCTTTTAAAGCAGTAAGAGCGCAGGATACATACAGTCCTTATTAAATTGGTCGATGAAAAACATTACACTTGATTTGCTTGATAAACCCACCCACTCTGCCATAGCACAGTGTGTTGGTGTTACCTGTGTGCTCAGTAGTGCAGCCCTATGCCCCGCCTCCTCTGCTGTCCCAGGCTCCTGTTCGTCAAAGCTGCTGTCCGTCAAACTGGCCAAAGTGATCTGAGACTGCTCCAGAATGCCCTTCTCCTCCAACTCACCCTGATGACACAAAAACACAATGACAGATTCCGGATCATGCAAAGATACTTCACATCTACAGTCCCCTCCAAAAGTATTGGAACAGCAAGGCAAATACTCTTACCTCTTATTTTTGTTGTTCACTGAAGACATTTGGGTTTAAGATCAAAAGAAGAGTATGAGACAAGAGTTCAGAATGTCAGCTTTAATTCACTGGTGTTTACATCTAGATGTGTTAAACAACTTAGGACATTCCAACCTTTATTTAAACCCACCTGTTTTTCAAGTGAGCAAACTATTGGAACATGTGACTGACAGGTGTTGCCTTAAGATGGGCTGTTCAAATATTAAATAGCTCTGCATGACTAGTCTACTACTTTGCTGCAACACTATGCTCTTTAACAAGAAATAAACCAAAATGAAGACCAGAGAGCTGTCTATGGAAGAAAAGCAAGCCATTTTCAAACTGAGAAAAGAAGGAAAATCAGTCAGAGCCATTGGAGAAACATTGGACATAGCAAACACAACCATTTGGAATGTCCTGCAAATGAAAAAAAAAACTACTGGTGTTCTGAGTAACAGACGTCGAACAGTTCGGCCAAGGAAAACAACAGTAGTGGATGACAGAAATATTGTGCGAGCTGCGAAGAAAACCCTCCAAAACTACAGTAAGTCAAATCACCAACAACCTCCACAGTGCAGGTGTGGAGGTACCACAATCCACTTGTTCGAAGAAGACTCTGAGAGCAGAAGTATAGAGGCCACACCACAAGATGCAGACCACTCATCAGCAGTAAGAATCTAAAGGCCACATTGGAATTTGCAAAGAAGTACAGAGATGAGCACAAAAGATCTGGAACACAATCCTATGGACTGATGAGACCAAGACTGATCTCTACTAAAGAGATTGAAAGGCCAAAGTGTGGAGGAAGAAAGGAACTGCACATGATCTGAAGCACAAGTTCATCTGTGAAGCCTGGTGGAGGTCATGTCATGGCTTGGGCCTGCATGACCGCTTCTGGAACAGGCTCATTCATTTTTATTGATGATGTAACCGATGATGGTAGCAGCAGAATGAATTCAGAAGTGTACAGAAATATTTTGTCTGCCAACATATGGAGAAATGTATCCGAACTAATTAGGAGGAATTTTATCATGCAGCAGGACAATGACCCTAAGCACCACAAACAAAGGACTTCATTAGGGGGAAAAAAGTGGAAGACTGGCCAAGTCAGTCACCTGACCTTAACCCGATAGAACATGCATTTCACCTCCTTAAGAGGAGGCTGAAAGGAGAAACCCCCCGAAACAAACAAGAACAGAAGGAAGCTGCGATAAAAGCCTGGAACAGCACCGCAAATAAACAGTGCAACAGTTTGGTGATGTCAATGGGTCTCAGCCTTATCACAGTTATTATAAGTTAGGGTTTTGTCACCAAATGTTACATTTTATTTACTTTACGATTTTTTTTCCCTTTACTTTCGCTCACCTAAAAATGCTGTGGTGTAATACAATACAATACAAATACAAATGTGATATACTAAGTTGTTTAACACGTCTAAATGTAAATATCAGGGAATTAAAGCTGACATTCTGAACTCTTGTCTCATACTCTTCTTTTGATCTTCACAGAATTGATCTTTACAATAAAGTATATTTTTCACAAACATCATTTCAGTACTAGAAGAAGGTGAAAAGTAAACCACATATCCAAATATTGTAGAATTAAGGTGAAATCTACACGATCTATTCTCTTTAAAATAACACCGGTGCCAGGTAAGGGTCTGTCGTGTTTAATCTGATTAGTTTTAAGGTAAATCATTGTCTAAGATTTCCTTTAATGACAAAGAAAAAAAATCCAAAAGCATCTTGGTGCCATTCACTACCACTAATCCACTACTGCCAACATGGAGTCCCTGTCACATTCAGTCTCGTGGGTGTAAGAGCTTTATAAACTTATCCTATTCTCTACAACCCTACACTATGTGACCAGCTTTATCCCATCAACAATTGTCTTTAGTTTTAAGTTATGACTACAGCTAACTGCACAATAGACTAATTAACAGAATAATTGTTAGTGGTGGTTGGAGGGGCAGATGGTAGATTCTCCTTCTTCAGTCTGTTCCAGGGCAGCTGTGGCTTAAATAGTATCTTACCACCACAGAGTGAGGGGTGAATGAATAATGCACAGTAAAGCACTTTGGCACTACATACTAGTCCATCACAAATAATTTGAATATCATGAAAAAGTTCAATATTTCCTGAAACACAGAATTTAGTTTTTTCATTATCTGTAAAACACAATCATAAAAAATAAAAAAAATTAAGGAATAAAATCTTGAAACATTTTACTCTATGCGTCATGTGTCTATATCATATCTGTGTTTGACTTTCTGAAATGAGACAAAAATAAAGATATTTATTTATATGATATTGATATCATGATATTCTAATTATTTAACATGGACCAAGAAATGCAATGATTATTTAATGAATGAATTAATCATCCAGTCTGTCCCACTGTGAGCCCAGTTCAAGTGTACAAACCATCATGAGGCACTTCAGGTTTGCAGCTTGACATCAGGGCTCAGGGCAATATTACTGTGAAACTTTCAACACATTACTTTATACATAGATTTGGTCACAAGACCACTCATTACATTACACTGCTCGTTACATCGAGACAGTAGGAGTTTCCCCAAATTAGTACTCAATACCAATTTCACTACCACAGTGGTAATAAAAAAAAAAAAAACACAATAGACAATAGAATGTGATTTTCAACATTAAATAGGAGAACTTTCTTTTTTATTCCCATGTGTCTTATATGTGTAATCCTCAGTGGTCCAGTAGGTTCATAGTGGTCCGTGGGCGTATACTAGTCTATGTGCTCTTCTACTTGTTCTGATACAGCTCAAGATCATTTTTAGTATCGATACCTGCTCGAATGAGTATCTACTTTTAATACTAGTTTTGGTATCAATTAGTATCTGATTAGTATCTGATTAGTATCTGATTTTTGATACTTTTGACAGCTCTACCCCAAATACTATTTTTACCCCCTTTTCCATTTCTTTGGCCCTGTTTACACGTACACGGGTATTTTTAAAAACAAAGACATTTCCCTTCATTTGTTCCCATCTTTTACTCGCAAATGGCAAATTTGCCTCTGAACACGGCTAGAGTGGAGATTCTGGAAAACTACGGTTTGGCGTTTGTGTGTAAAGTGACATAAACAGAGTTTTAGGAGCTGATGAGCCAAAAGTGCGACCAGCGTTTCCCTTTTGCTCGGAGGATGATGATGGAGCATTCAGAGCAGCAAGTGGCATTTCTTCTGGTGCAAACACTTTTCATGTGTTTGCATTTGCACACACAGCTGATGGATCATATCCATGACCAGAGACCAATGAGCTCAGAGATCAGTGATTTTATAACTTCTTTAGCAGATCTGTGGAGAGGCGAGCCCACTCAGTAATGCATGTTTTTCAAAGTATTTTTGAGTAAAACTTACAAGTGTAATGAAATAAATACTACAGGTTTGAATCTAATCCAGGTGTCGCCCAGAGGTTTGGTGTAGTTATGACGGTGCTCAATGGTGTATTCATGTACTTTTTTGAAAAACGATGCTGTGTGCACGATGTTATTTTGGAAAACGGAGGGAGGGAAATATTTGTTTCTCAATACACCCGGCTATTTGTGAACGTAGCCTTAGACCTCTAATTTGTACTTCTACTTGAGTAATTTGATTTAACATGCACATTATTGTCCAATAAGGAAATTTGTTCTTTGCATTTAACCCATCCCTCAGTCAAGTGTCCAGATCCAGATCTTGAGCTAGTCTAGGTCAGGACTATTTTAGCTGGAGGATTAGACCTGTTGTGCATGTTTTGGGTTGATGGGGGAAACCAGAGCGCCTGGAGGAAACCCACCCAGCCACAGAGAGAACATGCAAACTCCAGACAGAAAGGCCCAGGCGTCATACCCAGAGCTTTCTTGCTGTGAGGCGACTGTGCTAGCACCACCTTCAATATATTTTTTGTCTCTGGACCCACCTCTGGTTAAAATCCATAAACACTCACCATTAAAGTGGGTAAGATGTGCGCTTCAGGTGGAGACCAGTGGAAGAGTTGGGCAGAGCTGCAGGGCCCCTCCGCTCTCATGTGCTCCGGGGACCAGGGCTCGGAGGGGGCGGCGGGCTCAGAGGGGGCGGCGGGCTCAGAAGGGGCGGCGGGCTCAGAGGCAGCGGCAGGTTCTGCGTTCTCACTGGTTTCCATTTGGTTGTGCGTGAGCTCCGCCTGCAGCTGGTGGAATCCTTGAAACACAAATACAGTAAACATTATGACTACATAGCAAATTTTCTTTTTGGAAGTAATTTAGTTTTGGATTCATCTATACACCTACACCACAAAATATGTAGTCATAGTAATATTTCTGTTTTTCTATTCACTCAGTTCCTCCTCTTTTACTTCTTTCTGCTACTAATCACACTTCTGTTTGTTTTGGCAACTCAAATATTTGCTTGTTCTATGTTTTGATCACAGGATACTGTTCAAAGTTCATATTGTAAACATGTCTGGAAAAAAAACAAAAAGACTGAAATATAACCTGACAAACTAATACAAGAATCACAGTTCAGAACATGTTTGTACAGATTTAAACTACAGGGTTATAAGTTTTTAAGTAGAATAAGACAGAAGATTGTGTACAGAAAATTATTTGTTACATCAGATTTGAATTTTAAATGTTGTTGAATTTCTCACTTTGAATTTTTAAACTCTTATCTGTATTTCAGTTGATGAAATTTTATGTATACATTTTCAAAGTGTTAAAAAAGTAAAAAATTAAAAAAATAAATAAAATCACATTTTCAATCTTTGCTGTGAATTTTTTTCACTGAGAATTTCACATTTTTCAATTTTGACTGCTGAATTGGGGGCTTGAAAATATTTCTGCTGAATATTTAAAAGCTGAATTTTCTATTTAGAATTTTGTAATTTTTTAAAATGTTGAAAATGTAGACTTTCAACTATGTATTTTCAGAGTTAGAAAGTTCTAAGTAGAATTCAGAATTTACAATTCTAAATCTTTTGGAACAAATTGTCTTCCATAATTGTGTTGTTTGTGGAGAGAATGATGCTATTTCTTAACGGCAGCATTTACGTTGAGAAATAGCGTAATTGTGTCTATTCAAATTGTAATTTCAATTTGTGATTAATTTTGCAGGCCTGCATTACTCCACTGAGACCTTTCAGCTGAGCTGAGCTCTGCTCTGTCTGAAGCTCTTTTACTCAGGTTTAATCTTAATCTGAGCATTGTTTTAACATAATCTGACCATAAATACATAGTTGGAAAAGTCTGACATAGTTGGAATAGGAACTTTTGTGTTACCCCACTGGGCTTTGAGTTCCTTGAGCAAATTTTTCTAGTCCAATCACAAAAGTCCACTTAGTGTCCCCAGTTTGTTTTACCGGAGTTTGCAGAAGCTTCAGCGCTGGACTCGTTCTTTGGACATTCTAGGGGGCGTTCTGCCTGACTAAAGTCCAGCCCCGAGCTCTGCCAAGTGCCGCTGGGTCTATAGGAAAGCCCCTCCCTCCAGTGGCTCATGGAACTGTCCCATCCGGCCAGGTGCGAGGAGTCAGGCATCTGTCCAATCACAGAGGAGTGTGCAGACGGGTGTCCCAGCAGTGGCTCCAGGCCGTGGCTCTCCTCCTCTGCCGGGCACAAGGACTGCTCCGACAGCTCACCCTCCAGAGGCCGGAAAGAGTCCTCGCCCTCATACCCGTACCTCGTACCCCATGCAGAGGCCTCTTCGGCGGGGACAGTGGCTCCTGTCTCCCCTGGAGCAAACTGAGGGGACACAACAGAAAAGTGTCTACTATGGACTTGTACAGGAGCAGATGGTTTATTTGGAAATCACATCTATATGCACAGTGAGCGAAGGGTGGTTCTCCAGATTTTAACCACAGTATCATTGTTCTCCCTCAGCACTGACTTACTCAGAGGTGTGTTTCAATACATGCATCATAAATCTCGGACTTACAGTCATTGTGCAATGCATACTGGGAAGGATTTTACGAAAAAGTGAGCATCAAATCGCCATGTTTGATTTCCCAGTGGGATGTGTCTATTGACAAAGCTGATCTTTTCTAGTCTTTTTGAACCATATCACTTTTGCTTCTGGTTCTGGTTCTGGCGCTCATGTCTTGGTCTCTTTGCAGTGGAAGGTGTTTCTTGGTGAACAGCTGGTGCCTTTCACTTTGGTGTTGACTTTTTAAATTTGTAACCAAGGTTGAGTGCTCCAAATACAAAATGAGCGCTTGGAAAATCCTTCCCAGTATGCATTGCACAATGACCGGAAGTATGAAATTCATGATGCATGTATTGCCTGGCAAATATCTGTCTGTATTTTTCATACAGAGGCATACCAGTCTGGTCCCACTCCCTCCGCTGCACCTTGAGCCAGGCTCAAACACAACTGTGCCATCAGATTTGTTTATTTCAGAGACGCATGTGAAACAAAGGAGCTCACTGGTCAGATATCATTCTGAAGAAGTGTATCTGGATCCCAGGCAAGTATTTCAATTGATTTATGCTTTAAATAATCCTGTAATTTCTTACATTTGAGGCTTGAGTTTGGCTACGTGCTGAGCATGCTAATATGCACTTCTTGATTATCGGAGAAAAACAAAGCTTTCTAATTGGATGCAGGTACCACACTGCTGATGTATTTTGACCTCAAGAGCTGCTTATACAATATATCTGTACTGAGAAAGGCACACTTTGGATAAATACATGGAAATCAGATACAGGCCATTTAAGTCATTTTAGGTTCACAAATGTACCTACTCCCTAAACACCATAAGTAAAACATAAGAACCACCGGCCGGAGAGGGGCACTGACCTGAGGAGACCCTGTTGTGAGTATTTGGTCCAAGTTCTCCTGCTCTCGGCTCTTTGGCTGAGGTGGAGAGGAGCCCGAACTCTGCACACGCTCACTGTCTGATGAAGAGGAAGGAACAGTCAGTCCACTGAAAAACTACCTTGCCACATGCACAAAACACCTCTAGATTCTTTGTTAATAATCGTTACCAGTTTCCTAAAAAGTTCTTTATATATTTTATTTTTTATATTACACAAAACTCCAGTGAGTTTTAAGCCATGTTATAATGCTGTTACATCATCAAAAACATTCCCGGAGTTGTGTTTTGTCTCATTCACACGTTTGAGTGATCCTGCGTTATTAGTGTTTCAACATTTGAAAAACTCAAAATGCTCTGTTCCACCTTGTGATGTCATGAAGCACTAGGTTTCAAGTTAAAAGCTACGCTTTAGAAATTCCAGGTCTGAAATTATTCAAATGATTCTAGTGTAGGTGTATGGAGTTTAAAAACACATTAGAGCGCTTCTTGTATTACCACATGACATCACAAGGTGAAATATTTTCAGTTTGATAGAAGAACTCAGTGTAAATATACAGGATCTGTGTGTTAAATACGTGAGATAAAACAACTCCAGGTATATTTTTGACAAGGAAATGACATTACAACACAGATCAGAAAATGGTGTAATATGGGCCTTTAAAGTATGAAAAGAAAAGAAAGTTGAGCAGACCAGGTTGAGAGTGCAGCTCTGGGTCTGTGGTGATGTAGCTTCCAGTGGAGAGGGTGCTGGAGAGGCAAGCCTGAGCTCTGCTGTCGGCCTGATGGACAAACAACACTACACTGTTAATCCACACACTGGTCTTGGGGTGTAATTGACTGTAAAAAAGATAATTGAACAGATTACCCAGTATTCTCTTTATCTCTATAATATGTGACGACAGTTTAACTTTTTTAAGAGATTCTACTGTAGAATCATAACTGAACCTGAGGTACCAATGCCTTAACCTGCAGACAGAGGACACATACAAGTTTTTCTCATTTGCTGGCTACACTGGGGTTTAGGTAGTGACCATTCAAATCAGACAGTCATTTTAGGTTTACACCAACTGGATTTCTGCACTGAAACTGACAACCCATTGTAGGATATAATGTCATTTATTGTTGTGTAAACATTCACCTCTTTAGCTTCATGTCTGTTCTACTTCTACTCATAAGTGTTAGACACACCTGAGCACTGAGATACACTGGGAGAGACGCATGAACATGCAGACAGGGCCAACTAAATACACACACACACACTTTCATACAGAGCTGCTTACCTGAGCTGAGTGTTGGGAGGTGAGCACGGAAGAACCCGAGAAGTCTGCTCCACTCCCAAAGTCCAGTGACTGCACCGAGTCCATGTGGTGTGCAAAATCTAACACAACAGAAACGTCTGAGTGGTTACATGTTCATCCTATTGTGTACAATGTGAGTCAAACGCACACATACCAGACAGGGAGCAGCTCGGGGAGTCAGACGGCTTCATCTCCTGAAAGTCCTCTGCTGTCGCTGTATCATCACCTGGAAACAAAGGAATGGAAAATATATAATCAGACTTGAACAGAAATATTTCACAAAACAAAATGTCCACTGGCACAAGGTACAAGTATGTAACTTGTGACAGTCAATTATATGCTGATAACATACCATCCTGTCATCAGGACCAAAGCCAGAGACAGTGTGCAGTAAAATCAACATCTGTCTTAGCACGTTGAAAATCAAACACCTCAACAATCCCAGCACTTGTACTGACCGTGTGCTCCAGAAAATGTGTTGCTTGAATTCATTTTGTAGACTATTTAAAAACTTTTTTGACAATGTTTTCTAATGTCTGCATTGTGTCCCACCCCACCCATCATGCTATGATGTTTATTCAAATCAGTACCAATCCTTCACAATGATCCTAAACATAGCTCCTGTTTGTCATCAACAAGATGTACTGTATAATGCATTTACTTTTTCTTGACTTCCTCCTACCTGTGAGTAAGCTCAGACTGGCCGGTGTGGTGACCTCCTGTATCATGCTGAGCTGGTGGAATGGTGTGTCCACACAGCCCAGCCTGGCTCTGGACACAGGGGGCTTTGGGGGTGCTGCTGGGGGTATGGACACTACAGAGGGACAGCCAGGAGATCCACCTCTGGAACCTGAGGAAGGACAGAGGAACCGAAGATTTAAAGCAGACTTATTGTGCGAAAAAAAAAAAAAGAGTTTTCAACTATGTTCTAGTCATTTCCTGTCACTATTTACTCAACCAAAGTTGTATTTGTAATGATCCGTGCATGTTTGAGTAATCTTTAATCACTTATTTTCAAGATGCCCACTGCTCTGTACTTACTTCATTCTCCAATTTTATTTTCTTAACCAGTGATACACTGGTATATTTTTGTACAAAAGAAAAAGAATCCACTATTCGCTAGTGGCTTGAGCAGGTATCCATAGATGGGCCCACAGCATGCAGCGCTTTATTATGCCATTTAATGAGATGCCTGCTCCCCTTTGGCGCCATAGTTTTGTAAACATGGAAGTCAGTGGACTTGTTTATTTTATTAAGTCATTTTAGATGAATATTTTGATTTAAAATGTCAAAATTACAGCGCAAACAAGCGCAGTAGGTCTTCATTCCACCACAAGATGGCGACATATACCAGCATTCTGAGAGCTGCAGAGGCAGACAGGTGCCTTTTACACACATGCAGGTTCAGACAGACCCAAGTCCACCAGGTCCACAGCAGTAGGTTTAGGTTATAGTCACTCCCACTTTTCCTTGTTGTTACATTCCAGGTTCTATATCTCAGTGCAGGTCTCTTGGCTGTAGGGGTGTAATGTGTCCAAATCTCCCAGCACAGTATTTTCACAGTGTCCCAGTTTAATATTTATTTTGTTATTTTGGAGAGGTTAACAGAACCGTTATACTTTTCCTTTCAAAATAAACACTGATAAGACTTTGGTGTGAATCATAACAGTCAAAATGTGCTACTAAGTGTTATTTCTTCATGCTGTCTGTTCTGAAACAGAGCAAAGGATCATGGTCTATGTAGAACCTAGATTTTTTTAAGCTGCTTCTGTAAAAGAACAATGCATTTAAGCAAAGGAGCTTGTAATTTAATATATTGTGACAGCACCACATTATTATTGTGAGACTTTTGACAATGTGACATCTAGAGATGTACCAATTCCAGTTTTTGCTTTAAGTATCTGCGTATTCCTGACATCAACCAATACTAGGGCAGAACAAGCATAGGTAAAGGTTAAAAATGATCCAAATGTGTTTTATAACATCAGAACAGCTTTGTAAAAATACAAGTTTAATATTATGAGACGGGCCAACACTGGCCAGTAAATCTTCTTATTGCACCAATTTACTGACAAAATGAAACATCAGCTGAACCAGTATCTTGGAAGCTGATATTCCATCCACAAAAATATCAGTACCAATATTTGATACCAATACAGTATCATATCAGTGACTCCCTAACGATATCATGATATACTGATTGCATCCCTGGTTAGGTGTCAAGATGGGCAGGTTCAGTTTGATCACAAATCAGTATTTACTGTGCAAACACTGTGAAAATAGCTTTGATGTTGCCAAGAGTGTGAAGAACTGTTTAACAGCTTTGAGTTGTTAGCCGCTGTGCTGATACGTCATCACCCCCTGGTTTCCCTGCAACCTTAACTCCTGTCTTGGCTCCTTTTGTGTTCAAATGCAAAATACAGAAATACTGCAGACTTAACTGACTTGAGCCGATACAATACCTGCTGCTGGGGCTAATAACCGATATGTACAGATACCAATATTTGGCTTTTAAAATCCAAGGCTGACAAATTTCATGTTGTTTCAAGTTGACCTAAGATCACACATTTGAACTTGAACTTCAGTATAAATAAAAAACAAAATGTCTCTATCTGGAATATAAAATCATTTGTGTCAACATACAGTACACCCATATAAACGCTCTTCTGTTCAGTTTCTTTCATGAGTCTGCTCAAAATGAACAATCAGGTGTTCATGCACACTCAAAGAATGGGGCAGCGTCAAAAAGAATATTGGCACTGAATCAGAAACTGGGAAGTGATATGTCGCCCATCTCCTGTATGTACTGCACAGAGCAGGAGAAGAGCCAGGGACAGCACCCAGAGATGGCCCATGTGCACTGTTTGTAAAGGGATTCAATATGCAGAACTCATGAAACATAATGTAACTATAGTTTCATGAAAACAAAACCTGATCTTGATCTAAAAGCAAAAATGAGGGTGGAGTGCTCTCACCTGAAGAAGAGGCTTGAAGGCTTTGGTTTTGAGATGTTCCTAAACTCGATCGCTCCAGAGCTTTGAGGAGAGTCTGGAGCAGGGTGGAGCGTGCCTGAGAATCCTGAGCACAAAGACATCAATAAGACTAAGAACAAGAGGACCCACTACTAACACGGACTATAGAAAGCCAAACTATTATTACCTGCTCCTGCTGTTTAGGCTGTCGCAGCTCCAGTGTTGGAGCTTCCACTTCCTGTGGCTGTGCTTCAGGAATGTGGACGTCCCGAAACTCAGGTCTCTCTCTGCCTCCTCCGCTCCCCCAAGAGACAGGTGGATGAGGTGTCCCTGTGGAAGTGTCTGGACTAGGACTCGCTAAACCCAACCCCATAGAGACAACTCCACTGGGACCCACCGTGGAATCCAGTGGACCAGCAATTGTTGCCGTGGAGACAACTGGACTAGGACCTGTTGCCATAGTGAAAACTGGACTAGGACGCGTTACCATGGAGACAACAGGACTAGGACGTGTTACCATGGAGACAACAGGACTAGGACATGTGACCATGGAGACAACAGGACTAGGATGTGTTACCATGGCGACAACAGGACTAGGACGTGTTACCATGGCGACAACAGGACTAGGACGTGTTACCATGGGGACAATGGGACTAGGACCAGATTTCATAGTGACAACTGATCTAGGATGTGTTGCCATGGTGACATCAGACCTAAGATCCAGGGCCGTGGATACAACTGGACTTGAACCCGTTAGTAAGGAGATAACTGCACTGGGACCTGTTGCCATGGAGACAGCCGGGCTAGGGCCTGTTTGCACGGTGACAAGTGATCTCGGACCTGTTGCCACTGTGACACCTGAACTATGACCCGTGGCCGTGGAGACAACCGGAGTAGAACCCGTTGCCAATGAGACAACCGGACTTGGAATTGTTACCGTTGAGTCCGTGTGGGAGATGTCCGTTTGCTGTTGGCTCTTTGTCAAACCCAGTCTGTTCTGAATAAACTTTAAAAAGGCAGCATGCTTCTGGAGAGTCACGCTATCAGACACTGTCTTTGAGTCCGCATCCGAGCCAGAAGGACGCATGGGTCGCAATGTACTTTCCATAGTAACCTGGGGCTTTTCTCCAGTTTGGGGACACGTCGGAGGGAGTGGATGACCAACAGCCAGAGGAGCAGAGGGGTGGGCAGGTAAGAAAGCAGGAGGAGGGATGGGAGCAAAGGCAATAGCAGAGGGGGGAACCGACGTAGAGGCAACAGCGGTAGGGCGGAGAGCAGAAAGAGAAACAACAGTGGGAGGGACGGCACCAGGAGCAGCAGCCGAATGTGAGAAAGCAGGGGGAGGAGCAGGAGTAAAACGAACAGCCACGGGAGGAACAGCCGCGGGAGGAACAGCAGATGGGGGACTAGGAGCAACCACAGAAGGATGTAGAGCAGAAGGGCCAAAAGCAGCAGAAGGGGCAGTGACAGGTTGAAGGACAGTGACAGGGGCAGTGGCAGGTGTGGAAACAGCAGCAGCCATGTTGTATCGGATTCTTAAAGCTTTTTGGTATTCCTCCAAACGCTGACGAGCCACTTGCACAGATCTCTGATGGACCCTGAAATAGTTTGAGAAAAATTTAATTAAATAATAATAAGGGTTAGAAATCCACAATTTCAACATTAAAAGCAATGTTTTGACTTGCACTTGACTGCATGACTCACACAAATAAAAAGCACATCCATAATAAATTATGATATGAAATGAAAACAAAGTGATGGAGCAGTGCATTTTGTTACTTTGTTGACATCCAAGCCTATCAAAGTCTGAGGGGCCATACCTTAAGAATAAAGCATCTCAATAAAGGACCCATTCTTGTCAAGATAAATGCTCTTAACATCATGCACTGTTTGGCTAAAGCCGCTAAATAAGTAAAATATGAGACTAATGTATAATATATTCATTTAACATAACATTTACTTAGGGAATAATAATACAGAAGCTGCAGTAACAATGAGCCTGGCAGAACAAAAATAAACCTACTGCCTGACACTATTCCAAATTCTTTGTCATGGTGCTTTTTCAAGAGTATGTGTAATCTCTCAGTCGTCCACATACGATCTAGTGCAGTTTTGTCCAGAACTACGTGGATGCAACTGCATGACATGACACTATTCCCGACAGTTGGTTCTGTGTCATCACAGTGGCAGAAAGGACTAAGTGGGCGGGGCTAAAACTTCAAACTAAAACATGTTCCTGGGTCATGGTCTGAAATCTGGTACAAGCCCTTTAAAGAACACATACTGTGTTTGTGTTTGCTGCATAGGTATAATCTATAACACCTGTACATAATTATGTTATAATTTGGACATTTTTTACTTAATAAAAAGTCTGCTGACGTCAGCATTAGAAAACTGTGGTTCCCAGTGGGAGCTAATGTTGCTGTAAATCTCACAACAAAGCGCCAAATGCTGTCGGCCCCTCCTACATATCACATATCTGCATATTAGACTACCCAGCAGATCTTTTGACCAAAATGACTACACGACCAAATCCAAATAAAGTTAGAGAACATAGTACAGAGCAGTGGGTAAAAACTGGCAGCAGTGAAAACAGGAGTGGATTAGAGCAATAACATCTTGAATACAGGAGAATAAAGATTACTCAAACACGCAGAAATCAGTCTACCGTATTTTCCGGGCTATTAGCCGCTCTGCATTATAAGACGCACTGTTATTAAATGGTCTATTTTCAAACAAATAAATAAACAAACTGCAGCAGACGAAACACAACAGTTGGATGGGTAAGTGGGACTTTGTCTGCCGCGTTCACGGTGACTCTGGGCTTTGTTCAGTTGTGGCATGTAGGGAGGGTGCTGTCTGGGACCAATGGATTGTCGGCGTGTTCGCAGTGACTCAGTTGTTCAGTTGTGTCTAGAAGCGGCACATTGCGCTCGCTTTTTCGGTTCGTTCCTCCGTTCTGTTGCTTCGTTCTGTTCCTCGTCAGCGTGGAGTGATGTGTCTGCGGGTGTGTTTCGCTGTGTGATCGCTGTCTGATCCGTGTGTGTTTGCGTGCGCTGCGAGTGCTCTGGCTTTGTAGTTTACTGAAGTCGCGCTGGGACACCCGAGTGGATTCATGTATAGGGCGCTCTGGCTTGCGAGGCGCGTGGTTATTTTTTGATGGCGTTAGAGGCTTAAGAACGCGCCCTATAGCCCAGAAAATATAGTAAATACAACTTCAGAGGGTCAGTGAGAAGGAAACAACTATAACATGGTTAAAGCTCTAAAAAGTCAATTTAGCAGAATAGGTCCACTTTAATATCATGCAGAAGCAATAATTATGCATTGTTTTGAAATGGCATAAAGAAAATGTGTCCTCATAGTTCTCAGACAGACCATGTGCAATAACTCACTCGTTTTGTTGGAGCAGCCGTTGTCTGTGTTCCTCCATCGTCCGGCTGTGGTTCACATTCTCAGGCACTGACTGTGGAAAGTCGACATTTTAGTGAACAAGGGCCTATTCTTTGTAAAAGCTACCTCTACAAACATGCAGTGAAATGTTCCCTGCATGTCAGACGCCCTCCCAGTGTGTCAGACGCCCTCATTGTGTGCCAGATGCCCTCCCAGTGTGTCAGATGCGCTCCCTGGGTCTGGAGTCTTATTCTGTGTAAGTTTATCACGCTACAACTGAAATGCATGGATTTCTTGGATTAGTTTAGCTGTTCAGATTCCTGTCCAAATATGTGAATACCAGTGGTAGTGTGTGATTTATTGATTATTGATCCTGAGGGAAATTCAAGTTGCAGCAAACTGTTGCAGTTGCTACATTTCCACCGGTCAGGGAGGGTGAGCAGATCTGTCAGGGCAGTTTGAGGAGAGGAAGAGCAAAAAGTGTCCCTCCTCTGTGTCCTGCAGCATCACAAGAGCCTACAGGGGGCGCCAGGTGCACACAACAGGAAAGGCCTCATCCTCACTCCACTTTGGTGTTTAGATTGGTAATAAAATTGTCCATTTCCTTAAAGTGTTTCCTCTGAAGGCTCTTCTGCCAAATTTGCTGCCACATATGGTGTAAAAAGCCTGCAGCATCTCAAATGTTCATAGCTAGCTCCTTAAAACAGTGTCCATGGATAAGAAAAAAATAAACTGTTCACAATAACTGAAACTAATTACAATAGCAAAAGTTACCAGGAAAATGGAAGAAAATCAGGAAGTTATCAGAAAATATGCGGAGCCTGACAGCAGCAGTTATGGAGAGAGGGTTAAAGTTTTCTCAATACAAAATGAACTGGAGCGAGAGTCAGTGGAAGCCGAAGTGCACCCATGCTCACTTCCTATTAGGAACATGGCAGCTAGTGGTTTAGCAATGTCCATTTACAGTCAGTTACTGACACAGACAGAGAATAGGAGCGTGCTCACCTTGCTTTCCGTAGCCTCAGAGGGCACACTCTTCTGGGCCTCACTCTTCTGGGCCTCACTCTTCTGGGCCTCACTCTTCTGGGCCTCACTCTTCTGGGCCTCACTCTTCTGGGCCTCACTCTTCTGGGCCTCACTCTTCTGGGCCTCACTCTTCTGGGCCTCACTCTTCTGGGCCTCACTCAGCCTCTGCTCCAGCTTCAGCCTCTGCCTCTCCAGCTGCTCCAGGATCTGCACCTGCTCCTGCCTCTCCCGCTCCAGCTCCTCCTCCTGGAAGCACACACAACTCATTTTATCTACATGTTCCCAACTGTGGAAATTATTAGCTAAACTCCATTCCTTCCTTTATTAAAAGAGGGTATTACACTGCTAGCGTGTTTAATAGGTTACAGTTTTGTTTTTGACACTCTGAATCTCCTCTCCCTTTGCTCCCTGCACTAAGTCACTCCACCTTAAGGGCACAAATTATGACACAAACAGCCTGCATCCCACTAATGAAACTACAGCACATCATATCGTGGTTTGTCAGGTTGTTGGGTAAAGTTGTGTACAGTTTTGTATCATGCTTTTGTATATTTATGGATAATTTTCGTGTAGGAGCATGGATGACATAGGGCCTGGGAAACATCGCTAGACTGCTCAAACATGCTCGGATAACATCTAGAACTTCTTCAGGTATGTTTTTGATAAAAGAGCACCCAAAATGTTGATTTTGCATAATACCCTTCTTTAAATACAATATAAAACAAAAATCCTGAATAGCACAAGCCCTACACATAATAATAATTAAAAAAATTATAATCAGCATGTTGTTAAACAGTATTACCTTTTTCTTCTGCTCCTCTAATTCCTGGATGAGTCTGGCAGAAGTGGCTGAATCTTCCACATCGGCTTTAGCTTTAGAGAAATAACAAGTTTACCAATGAGTGGAACCTGTTGGATGTGAGGAACAGGTCGTCTAACTGAGTGGTGTCCTTACATAGTTTGTCCTCTGCAGTTAGCGGGCCGGTGTCCAGGCTGCTGTGCTCCTCAGAGGGGGAGCCAGAGGGAGGAGGGTGAGAGGGGAGGGCAGAGGGGGAGGAGGGGGGGGAGGAGGGGGGAGCTCCATCACTCTGGCTCCAGCGCTGCCTCTGTGTCTGGATGCGGTGTAACAGTCTCTTCAGCCCGCGTCTCCCGTGGGCTGGTTTGTCCACAGCGTCCAGGGCGTCCGCTGGTTTCGACAGCGCTGAGCCTACAGAGTCTCCTGAGCACACATGAGACAAGGAAAGCACACTTTAAAGGGAACATAGTGTACTATTTTCTGATCTATGTTATAATGTTATTCCCTTGTCAAAAACGTACAACATTTGTGTTTTTTTTCATTCACACATATTTAACACATAAATCATGCATATATTTCAAATTGAAAACACTCTGTTACATGTGGTGATGTCACGCGGGAAGAGACATAATTAAAGGATCACTCAAACAAAACACAACTAGGGATATGTTTTTGATGAGTGTAGTGTTTCTGACCTTTGATCTATGGAAGATGTGAAATCATGGCTGTTACCATGATACTGAATCTTAAGAAATAGACTTAGTGTATTTGTTTATTTGTCAGGGACAATACACATAAAAACATTGAGCTACACAAAGAGGTCATATGCTTGTGCTAGGTTATAGTAAAATTGCTAATTTCCACCTTCAGTCCCTGGACAGGTTGATGTCATAAATGGCGAACATGCCAATAAAATACAATACAATGTGTAGTGATGCAATCATTCATCCAGTCAAGCTAAAAGTAAAACTAGTCCCATTCAGTCTCAGTCACCACATCCATACATTATTTACATATTTACAGTTCTTATTGCTGCATTCATACAGGACAGATGAATTTGTACAGGTTTGTTTGGTTAAAAGCCATTGTTTGTTCAGGCGTGCAAACATTTCAGAATTAGAACATGATATAATTTCATGTGGGAGGCTGTTCCAGAGACTATGGCTCTATATGAGAATTATGACTGACTAAATGAGGTTCTGTATATTGGAAGACTACACTCTCCTCAGGCTGTGGACCGTGTGGCTCGGCAGTTCTTCTCTGAAGTGAGCACCACAAACACTCTCAATGGGGGGGCAGCTGAGTTATGTATGATTTTGAATAATGTTAACATTTGATTAAATTTAAGCAAGTTATCAAAACTAAGCAATTTATATTTGGCAATTATTGAACAGTGGTGGTGCAGGCGAGGCTTTTTATCATGGATTTTTAGTGCTCGTTTATACAATGTTTCTATCAGCTTTAGAGGTGTTTTACACGCCTGAGACCAGCTTGTAATACAATAACGAAGATGCGAGACAATCATGGCATTAAAATATATATATATATATATATATATATATATATATATATATATGAGGCTTTAGCTATTAAAGAATTTCTAATATGTTTAAAATTCATCAAGTTAAACTTCAGTGTATTTCCAGGTTTTTTAATGTGACTTTTAAAATTAAGTTTTGAGTCAAGTAATAAACCTACATACTTAAATTCATCTACATTCCAAATTTTTTGTCCATTTACTAAAATTTCATGAATCTGTGGGGATTTACGCTTATTGGTAAAAAAACACTGAAACTGTTTAATCAATAGTTAAGGTAAGACAGGCTTGCACCAAAGTTTGGACAACACCTCTGACGGGGTTAACTCTGGGTGCACTCTACCCTTCCCCCATTTCCTTCAAGCTCCCGGTCTTGGACCTGTCACCCAAATTAGATTGATTTGCTTGTGTTCTGCAGAGATATTTCCTATATGCTGTTTCACACAAAGACCCTTTCAAGGATTAAAGATGTTTTTACAAACTAACTTTTCTATAAAGTTTCGCCTATTGATAAATCAATGTGAGTTCACTGACTATAATCGACAAATAAAAGACACTGTGGGATTTTGATGGAACAATCTCTAAAGTTCAAGCCAATGGACTTTCTCCACAGAAAGAAAAAGAACAAAACAAACAGTTCATTACATGGTCTATTGCCAAGGTGTTTTGATATTGATTTGTAAATGTCATGTGAATACTTTGTTTGTGTAAAACTGTAAATGTTCCAAAGTATGTAATACTTGAGAGCGGTGCCATAAAACCCCCAGAGAGACTCACATTCCTGGCATCATCCCCTACAAAACATTTCCCGCCAAAACTAGTGGGCAGTTAGAAAGGACCCTCTCTGACCCCACACCACTACATTAATAGAGCTTTGAGTGGATAATTTATAAAGAAATTCATAAGAGGGTTAAATGCTTATAAACATGAAGAATATGTCTACTACAAATTAAGCAAGGATGAAAATGCAGCGTTTTTTGTGTCCATACAAGTTTGTTTTCACCCTCACCAGAGTCTGTCAGACGAGCTTCATCACAAAGACTGGAAAAAATGCATGTGCCTTCTCCTAGTTAAAGTGCAGATAAAGTTCGTACTTTGTTTGGTAGAATAGCATCTGTGTTAAATAAAAAATATATATATACATGAAGAAGTGATGAGTTGTAAAAAGACAAGATCAGAGGGTCCTTTTAGGTTTAAACCAACTAGAATTCAGCATTGTCTAATCATGTTTTTGTTTAGAAATGTACATTTGATATGAACATATTTACCTCATATGTAGGGACACAGACGAAATTTTAAATCAAAATCTTACAGACAGTTCCTTTAAAATGTCCCATTAAAACTACAATTGAGCTCTAACATGTAACAAATACGTGAGAGCATACAACTGTTGTGTTTCTTTTTAATAAATGGAAATGAACGAGCAAAAAGTTAATTATGGTGGAAATTATAATAACATTTATGGAGATACTGGAGAAACTAAATTACAGGAGTAGATGGATAATTTGCTTTCACCCTCACCGGAGCCTGCGTTGCCGTGGTGTGCGTTTGACCCCGTGTCCTCCTGTTCTTCCTCACACTGGTCGATGGAGGTGACGTCCAGGTCGGGGCAGGGACTGTCTGTGGAGCGAGGGGGCAGAGGCTCTGGGAGGAGGCCACACAGCAGGTCTCCTTTCACCCCTGTCACAGCACACAAACAAGACACAAACAGTGGTGAGAGACACACAAACACATCACAAAGACTGGAAAAACCACACGAGGCTTCTCCTAGTTAAAGGGCCCACCTTACGCTATTTTCTTTCTATGTTATAATGCTGTTTCTTAATCAAAAAGCAGACCTTGTGTTGTGGTTTGTTTCATTCACACATGTTTAACACACAAATCCTTCTTAAATTTAGTTCTTCTCCAAACGGAAAATACTCCACCTTCCACCTTATGATAACAAGTAGAAGTGCTCCACTGTGTTTTTAAACTGTATCCATACACTTTCACTAGAATCATTTGGATGATTTCAACCCTGGAATTGCCAATCTCTATTGAACAAAAGGAGTTAAATTAAAGTACCGCTTCATGACATTGCAAAGTGGAACAAATCATTTTGAGCTTTGGAGATAAAGACAGACTAATAACACAGGATATGTTATTGATGAGAAAACAACATTATAACATGGCTTAAAGCTCACAAGAGTCCATTTTGTGTAATATAGGACGCTTAAAGCGCAAAAGACAGATTTTCATGTTTTATTACTTGGTTTTGTAAGATACTATGAAAATATACAAAAATACATGAGGTAGTGGGGAGTTCTAAAACAAAATACCTCTATGTCATCAACACTGAACTGAACGGACCATAAAATGAACCACAAAAGGGCCAAAATATCACTTAACAATTACGATATTGTCTCTTGTTTTAATTGTAGATAATTCATTCTACTCCAACACAGCAATTACTATATTATCGATATATCTTGTACCTACAAGAACTACCATCTCTCAAAGTTACAAGAAGAATCAGGTTGCAACTTCTATGCCAAATACAGAGGTGAGATTTTTAGTGTAGATTAGAGCTTTCATTCATGTTGCCTTCTCTGCTCCGGTGTAAAACTGTATAAAAATTATTCTGCTCTTTTCATCACTGAGATTCAAACTGAACTGTTAATAGAAAAGAACATTCAAAAGATGAAGTGAATTTTGCAATCTACATAACTACCACCATCTAGAGCCCTGCAGCATCGTACTTCTCTCTCCGCTGTACATGTCCTCAAAGGCGAACTCCATGTCCCTCTGCAGCTCCAGCTCGGCCTCCCGCCTCCTGTAGAGCGGCTCAAAGATCTGCCTGGGCATGTCCCCCACCCTCTGCCTCCTCCTCAGAAGGTCTGTCTGCTGCAGGTGCTCCAGCTCACTCAACAGGCGCCCGTGGTCCTGAAACACACCAACGCATCACAGATTAAATTTCTAAATTAATAATACTTTCTTAAAAAAGTTTAATAAGGACACATTTATAGCCTCAAGTGGAGGAGTTAAAGTATCGTAGGGTTTTGTTCTCTAGTGAGGGGAGGACGGAGCATGAGATTGACAGGCGGATCAGTGCAGCGTCGGCAGTGATGTGGTCGCTGTATCAAACCGTTGTGGTGAAGAGGGAGCTGAGCCAAAAGGCTGAGCTCTTGATTTACCATCAATCTACGCACCTCCCCTCACCTATGGTCATGAACTCTGGGTAATGACTGAAAGAACAAGATCGGGGGTATAAGTGGTCGAATTGAGTTTCCTCCACAGGGTGGCTGGATGCTCCCTTAGAGATAGGGTGAGGAGCTCAGTCACACGGGAGGAGCTCGGAGTAGAGCCACTGCTCCTCCGTGTCAAGAGGAACAGCTGAATGGGAGGGTGTCTGTTCCAGATGCCTTCTAGGCACCTCCCTTGGGAGGGCATGTCCCACCAGAAGGAGGCCTCGGGGAAGACCCAGGACATGCAGGAGGGCCTATGTCTCAGGGCTGGTCTCGGAACACCTCAGGGTCCACCCAGAGGAGCTGGAGGAAATGTCCTCGGTGAAGGAAGTCTGGGAGTCCCTGCTTAGACTGCTGCCCCTGTAACCTGGCCCCGAATAAGCTGAAGAAAATAGATGGATGGAACCATCCATAGGACCCATGATACATTGTATAGTGGGTGATATTAATATGATATAAATATGGTAAGGTGACTTAATGATTACTGATAGGAGTTTACAGACTATACTGCAGTCTGCTGTATGTAATCTCTTCACTGGCTCATATCGTCCTTCTCTGATGATGCCCGCTGCATTTTCCCTTTGTCATCCTAACACTGGGAGTACAACACAGTTTTGATACCAATAGATTAGTATATTAATATTCCAATTAACTTTTTACAGTGAAAGAAGAGAAGACTTTGTTTGTTTCAAACACTGCATCCTGAGTGTGGAGGGTAGACTGACCTGCTGCAGCTGCTCCCTCTTGAGAGCCTCCTTCCCTCTGAGACGAGCCTTCTCCTGCTGCTCCTCCCTCCTCCGTTCCTTCTCTCTCCTCATCAGGTCCATCCTCTGCACTTCCAGCTCAGCCTCTGCACACGCACTAGGCTAAACACACAACAGAATAGAACATTTAATGTACAAAAGCACTGCTCCTCCTCCCTCCTCTCGGCCTCTGCCAAATTAATAGCAATAACAAATGCCCCCATTTGTTATTGCTACTGTCTGTCTACATCTCCAAAGCTCAAAATGCTCTGTTTCACCTTGTGATGTTACAGGGCAGTAGTTTTCAAATTAAAAGCTACCCTTTACATTTCTTCTGTAGACATGGGCAACTATGGAGTTTAAAAACACAGTGGAGCACTTCCTGTATTACCACATGACATCAAGTTGGAACAGAGTGTTTTCTGTTTGAGATAAAAACATAGCCTTTTATGTACTGTAAGTACACCCACCCACACAAACCCTGCATATTTAGGCTGATTTCTTCATTATTTCTCTGCGTTAGACCTTTTTCTAAACACAGCACATGAGTCAATTATCAAAAAACAGTTTATCAGTGCAGTTATGTTGTAGAATAGTGATAGTGAGTCAAAGCATTACCTGTGAGCTGACCGTCTCCTTGTCCACCAACGTGTCAGGCATGTGGTAGTGTGTGGCTGCAAAGGAACTGGCATCACATCTGACCACATGCTGAGGTTTAGAGGCCACTTCCTACAAGAGAGAAGAGTCTGCTTAAGTGGAACTTTTCTAGTGGAGGGTATTTGCTTTGCCAGGAATGTTCCATAATATGGCATCAAACTGTCTATACCCAAGGCATGTATGTGAAATTCTTAGTAAAAATAACTCCAAACTTGGTTTAGATTTATAAAAATATCTTTTATCCTCCTGCTTTGAACCGTAGTATGCATTTTTGGCATTTCCTGACCCTGACACGGCACAGCTGTGAAGTGAAAACCATTTCAGGAGGCTTCATCATGAAGCTCACTGAGAAAAGGCCAAGGGTTTACAGTTCTGCCGACTTTGAGGATTTGAATAGATTGAATGAATCTTTCATTCATTCATATGTCTTGCTTCATATATTTGCCATCTTCTGTTTGAATCTAAAAAGAAGTAGCAAATAAATAAATAAATAAATGAATAAATGAGAGGGTGTGTCAAAACTTTTGACTGGTAGCGTATACCACAAACTTGGAAAGAGCTCAGACCATTTGAGGGGGGTTCATATACATTATCGTTGTTCTGTTATTTATGGGCTGAACACAGCGGCATACCCACAGGTCATGATTCCATTTAGCCTTGGTCACACACTTAAGGAATGGGCTGATACCACCCAATAATCCAATTCAATTTAAAGATTTAGGGCAAGAATGTAAATGCTCCTACCTGTGTCTGCAGGAGCTGAGAGGAGGGCAGAGGAAGACTGGCCACTTTAGCAGCTCTGATCTTCTCCACCTGCAGAGCCTTCCTCCGAGCATCAGCATATCTGTCAGATACATTATTTGAGTGTACAAACTAGAGCCCGACCGATATATCAGTTGGCCGATATTATCTGCCGATATGCTTGCTGATAGGGGCCGATATTTCACGTGGGCATGTTATACCTCGTTATAAAGCTTAGACTCTCTACATTCTGTTCATTTAATCCAATTTACAGACAGATAAATGTCCTAATATGTGGCTCCACATCAGTATTTATCTACGGAGTCATTTGTCTCTGTGTGTCTGTACTGTCCCTGAACACACCACAGAGTCGCTCACTCACGTGTGTTTGTTTACACCTGCAGACACAGATCCAAACACTGAGATTATATTCTTTTTACGGACAATCGGTTTGAGTCTGGATTAAAAGGACATTTATTAGTGCAGATTTGTGATGTGAGGAGGAGCCTGTATGAGCGGTGAGTGTTGGAAATATGTCGACTCTGAAGCTAGTTTTGGTCATTTGTTATGGGTTAGCTGCTGTAGCTCCCGCACATAAACAGACTGTTTTCTATTGGTCTATTGTAAAGTGACTATATTGGCCGTACATTTGTTACTGGACCTGCACTGATATGTAAATGAGCTGTGAATAGACGTGTGAATTATGACATTTGCGCATATAATTAATTACCGCGGCGCGCACGTATTTACGCTATTAGGCTAATAGCGCTTTCTTTACTAGTTATGGGTCCGTCGCGAACGAAATGACTCTTAGATCCGGCTCTTTGAAGGGAACGACGGGAGCCTCATCCTTATTGGGAGCCGTGTTTTCTCTTTCTCTCACCTTTTTTCTCTTCACGCCGCGTGCAGACTCGTGGTTTGACAGCGGCAGTGGCTAAAAACGGAACTTTGCGTGTACGTAGGATTAAAAAAAAAAATAAAAAACGAGCATATTTGACTGTAGTTTAGCATAGGGATGGGCATGATTAATCGATTAATCGATAATTGATCATTAAGAATTTCATCGATTACGTTCATTTTAATCGACAAACCGAATGTAGGTTGCTGCGCGTAGCCTGACCAAACATGGGTCTGTACATGTGTCTCTGCACTTAGAAGGAGCGGGCAGACACAAACATTCGGTCAATCTGCAACGTACCGAAGCACAAATGTGGATTTAACGATGATTTGTACAAGAAATTCCACGCTTTCTGTTGCGTTCGGGACAAGTGGGAGTCCTTGAGCACAGTGTATAAAGCAGCACATATGTTTCAGTGTCCAGTGGGAAAAAGTTTTACCAGGTGAGAGTCGCGCAATGTCAATGACGAGTCTCCACCTCCCGTACGGTGTCCTGGTTTTGACAAACGCAAACATGGTCACACTAACCTGTATTCACCTGAGTCATGTCTTTTAATCCGACAGAAGTTGAACCGCATCAGCGACACAAGAGCTGTAGTTTTATCTTCGCTTAGTTTATGCAAATTAGCGATGCGGTTTTAAGTTTTGTTTCTGTGAGAGTTACGCAAAACTGAATTAAACACATTATAATGTCAAACGGATTGATGTGGCTCTAGAGTGGTTACGGTTTATATGTCGTAAAGTTGAATTTATTTATGCAGATTAGTAGTGCAGATAGTAATAATAATGATGATCATTTTAATATAAAAACGTTAATGATTAATCGATCGTTAATTCTTCCGACGATCGATTAAGAAAATTTCATCGAATGCCCATCCCTAGTTTAGCATAAAATAAATAAGTCCCAGTTTAGTCCTTTTTCAGTCCTGGTTTAGACCTGGTTCAGTCCTGATTCAGTCCTGCTTTAGACGTGCTTTAGTCCTGCTTGCAACAAAACAATCTGAAGAGCCACTTGGGAGCCAAAAGAACCAGCAGCTTTTAGTGAGCCGAGCCAAAAGAGCCGGTTCTCTAAAAAGAACTGGAATACCCATCACTAGTGTCTAGAATGTGATGCAAAAATGCCATTAAGCCAACCTACTGTCTGTAAATATGATGTAAAGAGGCAGAATAACAATAAATGTTGCCTAAATAAACCCAATTAAAATCCACCAGAGCCAAACCTAAATTTTTTAAACAATTCAACATTTACAGTGAATTTTTACATCACTAAATATATATCGGTGATTATATCGGCTATCGGCAGCTCCAACTACCATTATATCGGTTTCATATCGGCCACAGCAAAATCCATATCAGTCGGGCTCTAGTACAAACATGTGTAAGGGTTTGAAGAAGCGTGCTGCTTACCGGCTCTGGTTCTCCTGGTTCTTGAGTCTCTGGAGCTGCAGTTCCTTCAGAGCTTTGCGATAGCGCTCCTCGGCTTTACTGTCATTCTCAAGCTTCTGCTGCAGTAAGGCACCCACGTCTGTTTCCTTCAAACAAACACAGATGAAAAGGGGCTAAAAACTCATTACTTTTTTGAGAAAATATTGGAAATGTGTATAATGAGATATGATACAATATGTGTATCTCTGCTGGAAATAAACAAACTAGGAATTAATCAATCTGCTACATGATAAAGCTAAAGTGAAAACCTAAACAGAGTATTTTGCCTGGCACGTCCAGAACAATATCCCTTTGTATGTGTGTGTTTGTTACACGATAATGATACAGTGTTCTAGCCTGGGCGTACACTATGACCACTGTACAGTTGACCCAATCACGTTAGTGATTATTCTGTTGTTGTCCAGTTATTTAGTTATTCTCTTATTCCCTAATAAAAGGGATATCAGTCTGGTCACCACTCGACTACAATGCAACACGAGCCAGGCTCAAAAGTATTGTGAATGCATGGAAAATTGCATAGAAATTAACAGACTTTCCAGAAGCCTGACATTTCTGTTTAAAATATTTTTTTTTCTATGTCTATTAGCTATAATCATAAAAATATAAACTCTATACAATATTTAACTCTATGTGTCATGAGTCTATATAATATATGGGTTTGACTTTCTGAAATGAGAGACAAAAAATATTGAACTTTTTCATGATATTCAAATTTTTGAAGATGGAGTAGTATGTACTGCTTTTCTGTCCTCTGTGGGGAAGCTAAGTTGCTTATTTGTTTTCATATGGATGGACCATGCCTGTCCCTGATTGGCTAATCCACTAGTCAGTCACGCTCATCTGAACTCTAGGAGATTCGCCGGAGACCAGACTCAGATCACAAGTACTCAAGAAGTGTGTATTCTGGGTCCCAGGCAAATAATGTACAACGTGTTACACAATGGTTGATGATTCTTGGAAATCAGGATCAAATGCTGTTGGCTAAATCCACTTTAAATCCACTCCCAATAACAGCAGTGGCACTGCTAGAAAACAGTCTCACAACATACACAAGCACTTAAATGCTGCTAATATAAAAGACTCCATACAGAACATTGGCTTCGTACATTTTCCTTGGCGTTGCGGTGTCCCTGGCCCAGCAGGTTGAGGTTCTCCTGGTAGAGCGTGTGGAGCCGGTGCACACGCTCCCTCTGCTGCTGCTCCCACTGAGCTCGGAGCTCCTCCTCTAGAAGAGCCAGCTCCTCCTGCCTCCTCTGCTCCACGTTCTGTCGGACACCGCGGGCGATGAGTCTCTGCTGCTCCCGGACCTGCACAAAGACAACAGCAAATGAGGGTGGGTGATACTGATAAAAAAGTATATGCATTTACATGATTTAAATTACAATAGTATGACCATTAGACCTGTCTTGATAAATACTACATTAACTTAACGTTCTACGTATCATAAATGGAACAATTTTGGGGGTCAGTATTTAACACAGAGACTTTCTGTTTGTACACGTGTAAACATTTATTTTTCTGTACTACGATAAGAGTTGAGCTGTAGGAGAGTTGACTAAGTAACTTCTATGACTCACTACAGATACACACAATCTCTGCCTGCTAATACCCCATGTCACATTAGCGTTCCCGGGGACACTGGTTTAAAATCAAGCATATAAAGAGTATACCCAGGTGTGGTAACTTCCATCATATTTGTGTGAACTGGAAATGAAAGAAGTAAGAATATGTCATGTTATGAAAACTGGTTGGTTGGGACTTATTCCCTCCGTTAAGGATCATGTGCAGATTACAGAATTGAGTCTTTTGTGAGCTTGTTATTGTTGAGGAAAATACCTTTTCCTTGTGTGTTTGTTAGTTTCTGCTTAGATAAAAAATTACACTTGAAATATAAAATAAAGTCCAGATAATTTACTTATTCCAAAGTCATACTTGTACAAGGAGTCTGTGCTGACATTCCCATGCAAAAATTGAATATTTACGCCTATACAATGATTTTTATACACAAACTATAGTGGGAGGCGACCGTGGTTTAGACTTAGTGCCTCTTCGTTGGTCCAGCCAGGCCTCTTGGCACATTGCACAATCTTATCCGATTGTGACAGGATCCCCCGGATTCATCTCACTCCCCTTACGGGAGCGTCTTGCTGGTCTGATCAGGGTGATGAGTCGTGAGTCAGTATATCCCTATCAATAAGTCCTTGCCCTATTTAGTTAATTGAGTAGACATATAGATAGAAATAGAATATCTTGTACATGAACTGAACCTATCTCTGCACCCCTCATCTGCAATCTAGTCCTTGTTTTCTGGGTCATTGTGTAGTGAATTATAATAGTGCAATAATAAAATATAGCAGTACATCAACATGATGATGATATGTACAGACAGCGTAGGATGCTCTATGCTCAAGCAAATACCCTTATGCGTAAGTTTGGTTCTTGTACAAATGATGTAAAGTTGTTACTGTACACCGTTGTACACAGCTCACCTCTGGACTAATTATAAAGAAGCCAGTTTGCAAAGACTGCAGGTGGCCTACAATGATGCTTTACGGGAGCTTTTGAGGAGACCACGATGGACGAGTGCAACTGAAATGTTTGTTACTGCTCGAGTGAACACTTTAAAATTCTTAGGGCAGCTTACAATGTACAGTTTTATCTGCAGACTGAACAAATCAATGAATTAATACAATGAAATAATAATGTCACTCACAAATTTGATATTCGGTGCAATAAGGTATCAGTCCAACATATGGAGACACTGGTGTGGCTGTCTTTTAAAAACATGAATGTTTATTGTTTTGTATTGTCACTGTCCTTGTCTGTTTTTTAAATGGACCATGAGTCCAGAATAAAGATGATGATGATGAATAACTATAGCAGCACATCAGTTACATCATAGCAGTAGTTATATACACCACCTAAGCTTAGTTATTTATCCTAACAGTATGAAAGTAATGTACAGTGTTCAGAGAGCAGAATGTAGTGTTGTCAGCTGATGACAGGAGCAGCGCAGAGCCACTATTCCTTATTTATCTGTTCCATGATTTAGATTTAGTTTTTTAGCAGTATGACACGATTGCAGAATGGTGAGTCCTCTCAAATCCAGCATCATTCTGTTATTTCGTGATCCACCAACCTGTTGAATGCGCAGTATCCTCCTCCTCGCCAGCTCCTCTCGGATCAGCTGCGCCTCCTCGTTGGGGCTGAGTTGAACGACTTTCACCTCTTTTCTTTTCATCTCGTTGGGCTTTTACCTAACACGACAAGCACCTAAATCTTAACTAGCCCCTTCTCTGTGCGTTGTTGTTTGAAGCTCCCGCGCCATCACGCCCGCCTCCTCCTCGGCGCTTTGACGCACACTTTTAGACACTTTTAGGCGCAGTCTGACCCTAATAGCAGGCGGATGAGCAGAGTACCGTGCCCTGGTAGAGGGTCTGGAGCAAAGCCAGCGGTAGGGTCATACATAAAGAGGTTTTAAGCATAGATCCATGTTCATAATGGCTTCATTTGTCATCCACTGCTACAAGAACTGCAATTCTGCGCGTCTCCTGTTTTTCGTATAGATGTTTGTATACCGCCACCTGCTGGTAAGGAGTGGAAGACACATAGACTTAGACAAACTTTATTGATTTAGATTTTTGACTTAAAAATATAAATGGTAATAATACATTTTAAATAAGTGGCAAAAAAGATAGCAAAGACATCTCCCTGTGCTTTTTCATACATTTTTGTTTTTATTTTTACTGTAAAATTATATCCAACTTAAAATATTTTATTGCATTTTTATTTATTTTATATTTTTTCATATTTATTTTTTATAAAAGAAAATTTGTTTGTAAAAAAAATGGTGGCGTTTTCTCGGGGAGGGGCTTAAATGGAGGCAAAAAAAGGAGCTTTGTGTCCTGAAGTCACTATAGATCACAGGTGTCAAACATAAGGCCCAGGGGCCAGATCCGGCCCTCCAAGACCTTTAATGTGGCCCTTGGGTGATTTTCTACTAAAATATTGTAATTATATTTTCTATTAAAATCTTGTTAATTTTCTGTGGTGTTTATCACAGCAGCGTCTCCAGTGTCTCTGTACGTGGCCCCTCTCCCACCAGAGCAGCACAAATGAAGACTTGTCTCTTTCCAAACGCTCTTAAAGGACGATCGTTTTGACTGTTGACCATGACACCCTCATCAGAAAAATGTCCAACATGACAAAAGTGGAGCCGAGTGCAGGATTTTACAAGAAAAACTGACTTATTCCTGTTTGCAAACAAGTTCATGTTAAAACATTGTGTTGAAATTGAATTTTTCTTAAAGTTTCAGGTTGTTCATAATATTATAATATTATAATAAGAAAGAGTTCATCAGTTAAAAAAGATTTCTGTTATAGATTTGTGTTTCTCTGCACAAATATTTGAACTTATTGTTATTTTTGGGGTTTATATGACATGAGTTTTCTGATCCGGCCCCTTTGGGATCAAAGTAGGTTGGATGCGGCCCCCGGAACAAAATGAGTTTGACACCCCTGACCTACAGTATTGAGATTTGGGGCAATACATATCAGACTAATACAAATCCAGTCTTTACCTGCAAACAAAGGCAATAAGAGCAATCACATTATCATCTTATAATGAACCAACCAAGGCCTTATTTATAAACCTTTAAACTCTGAAATTTTATGATTTAGTCGACCTTTATACTCTAAAAATCATGGTCAAAGTAAACAATAATCCCCTGTCAAAATCATTGCAGAACATGTTCAAAATCCAAAAGAGCCAATACAAGCTCAGAGGCACGACCATGTTTATCAAAAAGAAAATTAGAACAAACATTATGAAATTTTGTATATCTGTTAAAGGGCTGGAGCTGTGGGACAAATGTACAGAAAATCTAAAACTGTGCACCAAACTCTTTCACTTTATATAGAAGTTTAAATGTTTAACTCTGGACAGATACATGAAATATGAGACTTAGTTTAAGTTGTAGAACTTTGTTGTTCTGTTTCTGATTTGTTTGTTTCCTCTTGCTGTATTTATGAAGATGAACTGGTGTTAAGATGAAGCTCTGACAAAGGAATAAAGGGTAAAGGGCAGAATAAGATTAAGCTTCAGCCTACACCTTTTCGGTCTGTGAATGTTAAATATGACTGTGAATTAATGTCAAAATACCTGTGACCAAAAAAAATAAAAAATCGTAAAGGAACCTAAATGAAACTGATTTGGGGGAGGTGGAGGACATCGAACTGTGTATGAAGTCTTTGTATAGGTTGGTTATTGAAATAGCTTTTTTACAGGATAAGTGGTGAATAGATTGAAAATAATGATTTATTTCAATTAGCAGTAATGGAAAATATGGTTTTGTTTTTGAGAATTTTGCTCTATGGATATGGTATTTGCCAAGAAGAATAAGTGAATTCATTAGTTTATCAATTTTTGCATTTTGATGTGTATAGAGAGTAATGATATTTTCTTCTTTGGGGTTTTTGGGACATGTACATTCTGGGAAAGAAAAACTTCACATTCTTTCCAGTAGGTGGAGCTAACTGGGCATGAAATAAATAGATGAATAGTACCATAGGGATTCTGTTTCTTTTTGTTGTTGTTGTTGTTGTTTTTTTAAGCATTCCTGTAGTCATTTGATTTTGAAAGTCTAATTAAAATTTTCAAAGTCCAACATCTCTATGCCTCCTTCACATTTAGAGTTCGTTAGGACAGATTTCTTTAGGTGATGGTGTTTGTTTTTCCAGATGAAATTTGTTAAGGTCCTATTCATTTCTATTTCTATTCAGCTCAAACATCCCCTTGGCTTGAAAGTCCCAGCACGACCGTCCCATTGTCTCTGCAGTAACGTCCCCCTCCTCCCTCTGGGCGGCACACGGGTAACTGCTGTGCCCAGGAGAGGGGGGTCGTTCTCGTTGGCCTTTAGTCGGCCGCGTCACGCACTGTGATGTATTGAGTTAGAAAATCAGCATTTTATATCATAACAAAAGGAAATGTGAATGTAACGAGACCAAATGAAGATAAAGGAATATGAACTCAGGTCAGTAAACACCCACAAGTCACCTGTGAGGAATTTTCTGAAACAAGTGATGGCACTGCCTAACCTGCCATTAAAATATATATGTGTGTGTGTGTATGTACAGAGAGAGAGAGAAAAACTAATTTAGTTTCATAAAGGGTTTTCCCGCTGATTCTCATTACGGACATGGGGAATAGCATAGACATGAAATGTCAACATTATCAGATTTGTACCAAATTTGTGAATTACATTCTATGAACAAATAAAAGCAAAAACAAATAACTGACATGAGGCATTTTTCATGGTTGGCCAACAGGGGCACAAACACTCCTAAAAAATATTTAAAGGTGCACTATGTAATTTTTCTGGCGGAGAATTTGTTGGCCTGGGTGGCTCTCCGGAAGGAACAATAGCGTGCCAGGGCAGTCGCATGGAAGGGGCGTTCTCACCGGGCGAGAGCTGTTCAATGTCACTTGTGGCTTTAATTTGATATTCTTTTGCTTTTGGTAGTCAGAAAAAAGTATGCCTTTAAAAGAAAATACAACCTTCCTTGATTCATGCAACTTTATGTAACCTGCTTGTAAAACACACATTGAAACATTATTACATAGACATCAGTATTTGTTATCTTATGTGTATTTAGTGATTTTTACTTGACATTTTCTTTTCTTTGTTCTAATGCAGAGCTACAGAATGGACTTTACATGTGACCAGTGTGGAAAAGCATGGCCAAATGCTTCTAAACTGAAAAGACACTGCAGAACTCACAGAGGAAAAAAAAAACATACAGCTGTGACCAGTGTGGGAAGTAATTTAAAGGGTCTACTGCACTCGAAAGACATATGAGAGTCCACACAGGAGAGAAACCATTCAGATGTGACGTTTCTGACAAGGCATTTTCAGTGTCAGACAGCCTTGTATCACATATGAGAGTCCACACTGGAGAGAGACCATATGAATGTGACCAGTGTAGGAAGGATTTTAACCATCTTGTTGCACTCAAAAAACATATGAGAATCCACACAGGAGATAAATCACACAGATGTGATGTTTGTGACAAGACATTTTCAGTGTCAAGCAGCCTTGTAATACATATGACAATCCACACAGGAGAGAAACCATACAGCTGTGATGTTTGTGAAAAGACATTTTCACAGTCGAGCAACCTTGTATCACATATGACTGTCCACACTGGAGAGAGGCCATTTGAATGTGACCAGTGTGAGAATGAATTTAAACAGTCTGGTGCACTCAAAACACATATGAGAATCCACACAGGAGAGAAACCCTACAGATGTGATGTTTGTGACAAGACATTTTCATTGTCAAGCAGCCTTGTAAAACATATGAGAGTCCACACTGGAGAGAGACCATATGAATGTGACCAGTGTGGGAAGGATTTTAAACAGCTTGGTGCACCCAAAGCACATATGAGAGTTCACACTGGAGAGAGGCCATACAAGTGTGAGCAGTGTGGGAAAGCTGTCACTGCATCGTTCAGTCTCAATAAACACATGAGAATTCACTTGTTCCAGACTAAAGAGAAAAGCTGCAGCTCTGACCAGTGTGGAAGGACTTTGAGAAAACCTACTCATGTGAAGGTGCACCGTCTTGAACACACTAAAGGAGACAGAGCTGCTGAGGCCGGATCATGTGAATCTAAAGTCAGACTCAAAAAGCTGGAGATCAGGCTTCAGAGACTCCAGACTGTAGAGATGAGCTCTGTGTAGTGGCAAATATTAACATCATTTTTAGGGTTGCCTTTTGTATTTTTTATTCCTTTTTTATTACAAAGAGATTTTAGATGAAGTTTGTCCTTATATTATATATATATTATTCTTTCTTGTTTTTACTTTTATTTTACTTTTGTTTTTTCATTTAAACCTTCTCTGCAGTTTCCTATTCACAGACATAAATTAATTTGTATTTATTAGTTTATTTTTATTCTGCTTGCTGATGAATTACTCTTATTTTCAACCCACAACAGAGGTTTTCTTTTCATGGATGATGTGGGGGGGAAAAGTGAAATAAAATAAAGGAAATGAGAAAATAAAGTCCACCTATGTTTTCTTTCTTTCTGTTGGTGGGAATTGTTTCTGCTTGTTTGAAAATGCCACAATCATGTTCTGTTTTGTTTATGTTGAGCTCTAAACAGGAGCTCTCACAGGATGACGTGAACTGATGCAGAGAAGAGCCACACACACACAAAGACACAAAGATGGAGCAGAAAGCAGAGACAGTAGAACAGTATCATCAGTGTTTGAGATATACAGGAGGGGAGATCAAATACACGCCTGTAGAGTTACCTCTACAGGCGGGCAACATCTGACAGTGAATCACTTACCAACCTGGAGAAACGACCATTGACTGAGTCATATCAGGAGGAGTCAGTTGTTGGGAAGTGAAAGCATGGTTTGTTGAGTTGGAAAGTGTGGGATTGGAAATGAAAACCTGTGAGCTTTAGAGCTCACATGTAGCCAACAATTGACTGATTGAAATCAGGTACGAATTATAATTTATTGAGAACGGTTGGACAG